TGGCTTCCTTCTGTTCACCTTCCTCTGCTGACCTTTTGCTTGCTGAAGCCGCCTCGCGTTGCTCTCGCTCATGATGTGCCAAGAAATAGGCTGTCTCACGGGTCTTGGCTCTCTCCAACCTCTTACGGCCTTCTTCAGTCTGCTCCATCTCCTTGGCGATCCGTTCTCTGCATGCTGCACTGTGCTGCTTCCTCGAAAGACCCTGTTGGGCCGCCACACATCCGTCGCACCCATCCGTATAGCCATACATGGCCAGCTCCACATCTTTCCGAAAGTAGATCCCCCGAGGAACATACCCTTTGGCTGGTCTGCATTGTCTTGAATTTCCACCACCAAATCCTTTTCAATCCCAAGAAGTATTTTCATGCCATCCCTGGAACTGCTGGGCCTCACTTGCCACGGAAGACCCACAAAACCGTTGAATTTATCCACGTTCCATTTCTCGCTCTCCGGCCTCAGCTTTATACTCCATGCTCTGACGACTCCTTCTGGGGCGCCGATCCACTTCAACAGCGAGTTCTCCTGGATGCCCAAGTAGACTCCGTCACGGAACTTGGCATCAAACTTCTTCCGGGTACCAGATTCCTTCAAAGGCTGATACCACACACACACACTCGCCACCGCTTGCCCGTACTCCTCTCGAATCCAGTCTTCCCATCGACTCCGCGTTGAAACCACAAACTTGCCGCGTAGCCAATGAGCCAAGCAAAAGCCGGATGCCGAGGGGTAAAAGCACACCCGTAATTCACCTCCAGAGCACTCCTCAATGTCCGTGCCTGACCTTGGGTTTTCCCTACCATTGACTCTGCCTGGGCATTGCTCTGGCTCTCCCCCTTGGTCGCATTCTCCGCACTGAAGTGCGGAAGCCTCCTCTGAATCTCACTCCTCAAAGCCAGAATGCTCGCCTCCGTATCGGACTTCAGCACAGCCCGCGGGTATCCAAGGATCTTGCAGTACTTCTCCACAATCGCTGCATTGAATTGATGCCCAACTCCCTTGCAAGGTACACATGCTGCAAACACTCTCTGTGTCAGGCTATCTGTCAAAATCAAGCTGGGCTGGCTATTTTCTTCATCCTACAAGTAGAAGTAGTCGCGGGGGACCGTGGGGATCTTCTGCGCTCCCGATCCAATACCAGACCGATGAGCTGCCGACAACGCCTTTCCGGCCACACAATGTCTGCACCAGGCAAGTGGCTCACATTGCGCTCTCTCCTTTCTTCAGGCGACGGATCATAGGGATTTGGGAGCGATGCTTTGATCTTGCTCTCCGTGACCTCGCCGTCTTCTATCCATCCCTGCAAGCCTCCTGCGCCGCCTCATCTGCTGAAACCTCTGCTTCCTCACTCTCTTCTGGAACGATTCCTAACTCACCTTCTGCCAGGAAACTCTCTGGCTCATACTCCTCGCTCTCCGTGTCCACCCCTGCTAGCCGTTCCTCCTCCCCTTGAGCTCGTCCTGCAGGATGCTCGCGACTTACAGCTAGCAGAGGCTGGCCCGCCAAAACCCCAGCACCCGTACGGCAGGACGACCAACTCATGCATGTACACCCCGTCTTGCTGCCTCAGGTTAATCTTCTCACTGGTGCTCAGGCCCTCAATGTAAGACGCCCCATCCCGTGCCCAAGTACAATCGGATACCCGCGACTGCAGATATCGGCTGCTGACGTCAGGACGTTCACATCCGCCACACGGAACCTCATAGATCTCAGGTACCCTTCTCTCGTGCACACGACCGGTTCCACAACTCCTTGGCGCCAATCGCCGCCGAATAGACCATCGTCGACCCACTCTCATCTTCCAGGACAGGGTAATCCGCATATGCCAACCTGGGCGCCACCGAAGCTGCTGCTCCTGAATCCACCGTGCTAATCACCGAGTAGCTCCCTTGTGGCAAATGCCCACTGCCCAAACTCAGCACCACGGTCGGGTCGCAGATGCTTTCGGCCTTGCTGATGGTGCCCCACGTGACGATGAAGTTGCCCGGGTCAAAACCGCCAGCGCCCTGATGTTGAAAGGAATCAATCATCCCGCGGTTCGCTGCAGATCCCGGAGTCACCTGTGAGGCTGATGGACCCGCTGTGGATGCTGCGAGCGACGTCGGTGTGCTCGGCTGCGCCTGGTTCTTCTGATTTTCATCAAGGGCTGCTTTGGCTTAAAGCGACTGCAGATGGCTAAGCGCGGGGTCCATGGCATTGAGGCTCTTCGGCTTGGACCAGCAGATCTCCTTCGTGTGCCCGCTCTTCTTGCAAATAGGGCAAACCGTTTGCTGAAATCCTCCGCCTTTGCCTTTCTTGCCCTTGTCCTTGGATTTCCTTTCTTCCCCTTGCCTTTGCCACCCTTCTCGCCCTTGCCGCCCTTCTCCTTGCAGTCTCGTGCAAAGTGAGCGCCTCCACAAACATAGCAGCCTTTACCGCCTGTCCCTTTTCCCAGGGATCCAACATCCATGGGAGTTGATGAAACACCCTGAACATGATCCAGAAAGGTAAAGATCTCCTCCCTGATCTCGAAATATCGGGTGTACCAAGCCGCATTCAACTGCAGAAACCGAATCTGCTCCCGGCTTGATGCGGTTCTCCCATGCGATGATCTCCGAGGGCAATTTATTCAAAGTACTGATTCCGGAGGGCTGGTGATCTTGGTCAAGTTGGCTCGTTGCCTACCGACCGTCAGTGGGTTGAACCTCACCTGCAGCATCCGGAATGCCTCCAAGCCGTTCGGACGGCGCGCCTGTCTCACAAGGCAATAAGCATTGCATACAAATTGGAATCTGTATACTCCACCAAGGTGCGGTCCAGGTGTGGGAACCCTGTGAGGACGGTGATCTGATCCAAACTGCCCTTGGGCTGCTTCTGAGATATCCACTCCAGGATCCCAAGTCCCAGGAATCTGCGCATCGACATCGACCAGAGTGATCAATGCCTCTGACCAATCCTGAAATCACCTTATCCGTCTTGCTCGGATCAAAAACCGATGGCTTCCCAAGCCCTTTTGCGTCCACACCGCCATGCTGCGCTGCATATGCCACTGCCGGATGTACACCTGTGCCCGTTGGCCCTGGCAGTCACCGCCTGCTTGATTGCCCGCCATGTTGAACCAATGTGGTACTGATCCACTTGCGCCAGTTGCACCCAATCCTGATGCTGCGCCAGCTCCGGGTCCTTGTGGTAACGACCCAAAAATACCACCACCATCTGACACACGCCTCGACCTACAACCCACCATTCCTGATGAGCCCAAACCCGGTGGCCCTGGCGGGGTCTGCGGTCCTCCACCTCCGGCTAAAGACCCATCCGGCACCGACCCAGCTGCTGATGCTGCAAGATTGCCCGCGCTCTGCACAAACTGCTGTAGTTGCGATTGAAGCTGTTGTACTGCTCCTGCAATTTGAGTCACCTGATCCTGCGTGTGCTGCTGCTGTTGCTGAAAGGCTCCTTGCACCTGGTCCACAACGCTACCGATCACGCCCTCTGTAACCGCCTGTGCACCCAAAACTCCGCGGCCGAGTTCCTCCAACCTTGTCTGCTGCGTCCGCTGCTCTTGCACCAGTTGATTCAAGATATTGCCAATATCTTGCATGTTGAATGCACCTGCTGATCCATCCACCATACAGAAGTCGTAGCAGAACGTCAAGCAAATGAGCACCGCCACGACTCTCAAACAGACAGATAAACTGGCGCAAACACCACGGCCGCCCACGGCCCGAGTCCGGTGCGCCTCTAGGGGCCCTTCCAGCAGAATATCCCCAGCGTCACCTGTGCGACCCACCGCCCGGCTGTCTGCACCTTGGCGGTCGCGGCGTCCACCGATGACGCGCACCTGCGGAGGCTGATTAAACCTCCAGCGAGCCGGCGCTCCGCTACCATGAAAAACGGTAGCACCGACCGAAGCAGCTAGGGGGGCACTGTTTTCCTTGAGCCATGCATCGTGCAGATATTACACTTGATCATAGCCAAAAGTTACGTGAGTGGCCTTACATTCCGACAGATAGATAGATAGATAGATAGATAGATAGATAGATAGATAGATAGATAGACAGATAGATAGATAGATAGATAGATAGATAGATTAGATAGCTTAGATTAGATTAGATTAGATCAGATTAGATTAGATTAGATTAGATTAGATTAGATTTTGATAGATAGATAGATAGATAGATAGATATAGGCAGGTAGGTAAGTAGATTTATAGATAACTACCTTGCAACAAGCCATGTTTCACCGAAGGCTTCGCTTTGCCGGCCGAGGGCTGGACACTAGCCTCCACTCCGAAAGCGATGTTCTCTCTTGCGCTGATGGCGAAGAGAATCGGCTCCTGCGTGCATCGTTTTGCTTGGCTCGAGTTAGGAATTTGTGGGCCGGGGCAAAGGCTCCAATGCCGACAAGGGAAGCATCAACCTTCTGCTCGGTGGAAGAGTCAAACCTCTGACTACCCAAAGCTTTGACATGATGTTGACGCCGCGTTCATCAAGTTGGTGGATTAATAGGGGGATGTTTGCGCAAAAAGTGATTTCGCTCTTTAAAGGGGGTACCCGCCTGCTAATCAACTAGGCTTGTTTAATCCTGGGTTTCTATTCATGCACGACCATATGACTGTGGGCCACTACGAACGCGACGCTCTTTCTCTTCGTTGAAATCTGGCAATGACAGCGTTCCAAGGCGCCATGAAGGGCAAAGAATGAATTACTTACCTCAGAATACTACAAGATAGCGGAATCTGGCAAGCTTCCCCCCCCTCCGCAACTTAAGATAGGCCCTCAGCTCATAATGTTGACCCAGGATTGATCGGCCTTGATAGGATGTGTCGGAGTCCTTTGAACCGAACCATTCATTCGCCAAGTTTACCCCGGGATCAAAGCTGGGTGTTACAAGGTGTCTGAAAAAAATGAAGAATCAAAACCGCAGGGGCATTTAGCACCCAGGTCAGCAAATGTCCTCCCTTTTGGAGAAAATGCACCGGCCTTCTTGGTGTATTTCAGTACAGGGGTCAACCAATTTTCCCTCTATGAACCGCTTTCCTGGGAGACCACGGCCATGTGTCGCCGGAGGTAGGAATACTTCAGCTGCTTCACCTTCATGCAACACGTTTCGACACACAACGAGGATGGCCTTCCAACCACAACTCCCGAGGGAAATTGGGATACATAACTGTTGTATGGTGCATATAGATGAAATCTATGAGAGCTTTTGATAGGTTGAAAGTTGAAACCATTGTCCACGGAAGGGGCCCAATCGATTCCCATGGGTGCAAAGCTGCGGTTCCCAATGGAGACTAAACGTTCGGGCTTGTCCTCTGGTTGTTGTGAACATTGACCACGCAAACAACTGGAAAATTTTGACCGAACCTCTCCTACAAGAAGAACAAACCCAAAAGAGCAATGTGAAGTGAGGCCCTTTTCGGGCATCTTTCCCGTTCAAGTTCCTTCTGTAAACCTTCAGAGGAGTATGTGAGTTGTCCCTCGCTTCAAGGACACCAGCGGCAGGGACTTCAGGCGAGGGAGACCTGGTGGCCTTGTTCTTTGAACCGTTGGTCCTTGCTTGATCACCATCTTGATGTGTTGCTGCAAGGGGCTGAACTGGTCGGTGTTGCGTTTTGGATGTTCAACGCTGATGCTCAAATGATGTGTGGGCATGAAGAATGGCACGGCCCGGGCATTGACAGTTGACCCTGTGTCAAATCGAGGACCATTTTCAGGGCACTTGTTGTTGAAACCGGCATGAACAAAAGCAACACAGCCATGAAACCAACCAACTCTTGAACCCCTGTTGTTGAAAACAGATATTCAGCCAACCTCTCCGAGGTTCAACTGGTGTTGACTCAGTTAGCCAAGGATCATCAATCTCGCATGACGTATCGGCTGCCCTGTTGCAAAGGGCACCCTTGATCCATCTGAGTCGTTTTTCGGTCGTTGAAAGGGCAAGCAAGGGACAAAGGGCATAAGTCAGGGCACCCGTGCAAGCTGACCATCCCCTTTCGTAGGTTGTAGTATGCTATAGTAGGTCTGAGCGAGTTGTAGCAGGTTGTAGAAGGTTATGATCCATAGTCAGAGGCGCCATAGAGTTCCATGGCTGGGGTTAAATTTGAATTCTAGTGGGTGCAAGAAGCACAAATGATCGGTAAGTTGAACAGCCGAGTCTTACAAACGTTCCTGCTTAAGTTAAGCTCGCATTTTGAGCATAAGCACGAGTACCAAACGGGTAGAGCCTCAAATGGGCGACCCGAAAATATGAGGACACCGTTCTGGTTTCCATCGAAGCCATCCCAAATAATGCTCACCATTTTCAGTCGTACCCAAGCCGAAGCTGGGGCGGGCCAGCAAATTTGTGGTGCGGCCGAAGAGCATCAATGTTGTCGATTTTCACTGCACCAGCCTGGCATCCAGACCAATGCAAGAGTTCACCTTTGCAAACCGCCGAGCTTGTAGCATTGGTTTGGTTGCTTGACCGGGAGCCAATGCTGCAGTTGGGCGTGTCACGAACTGCACCCCGAAATTGGGGACCCCTTGTTGGATGTTCAAGGGGAACAAACAAGCCAAGACAGGTTCAGGGGTTCAATGCCAAGTTTCGGAGACAGCTATGTGGATGTATCTGAAAATCAGGTCCCCTCCAGGCGGTTGTTGTCCTCTTTGTGACCCGTTCAAACCGTCCCAAAATGGGTCCCCTCAGTTAGAGGCAACCCCAACCGTCGGTTAGGGCCGCCCTCGTTCAGAGGTCTTGACCGTTCCTCGTGTTTGGGTTTTTGCGTGTCAGGTTTGTTCTAACAAATCTGAACCGCACAGCCAGGTCTGTCTCAAATATGGGAGGAACCACTTGGCAAGCAAATTTAATGGGGAATCACCGCGCACAGCTGGACATAAATGAAACCCACGGTAAACAATGTCCTGCAAAGGGTCCCCGATTGATTCTCATAGCCACTTTGCAAAGTGGGATGCTAAATCTCCAGTTCGGAGGCGCTCAGGGCGCATAACTTAGCGTGACTTCCAAGCTGAGCTGTGTGCTTCTGCAAGGTGCTTCATAAGATGGTTGCCAAGATATGTAACCTACGATTGCTTGAAAACTTCTGAATTCTGTCTGTCAACACTTATCCCAACCCACCTTCTTGCTTCACCTCAATTCGCAACATGGCTTTGTCCGGCCATACAGGTCACACCGCCCCCTTGTCTTCCGCATGGATCACAACCGTGAGAAGGATTTGTGTCTGGTTTCTTTTGGCTTCTGGTAGTTTAGGGTGGGGTTCAGTGTTGGTTGGGCTTGGGGTTTACGGGGTTCAAGGTTGGTTCAAGGTCCAAGGCTTCGGGTAGGCTTTGGGTAGGTTTAGGTTGGGTTTAGTTGGGTAGGTTAGCATGGGTTTGGGGTGGGCAGGTTATTGGTTTAGGGTAGGATGGGTTTAGAGGTGCGTTCGGGGTTACCGTCCAGGAGGTCCTGCATGAACCGCCCCCTCGAGGATACTTGGCGGGTGCCTTAGTGCAACAGGATCCGAAACTGAAACCAACCTTAAAAAACAAACATCTAGGCTCTTGTAGGGTGGTTTAGGGTATTCAGGCTTGGTTTAGGGCGGGTTTTGGTTTTGGTTTGTACGTTGGGGGGTTGGTTTAGGGTGGGCTTCGAGGTCCGTTCAGGGTGGCGTGCGGGTGTGTAGGTGGGTTTATGGGTAGGTTTAGTTGGCTGAAGGCTTGTCTAGGGTGTTTGCGCTGGCTTTAGGTGGGTCGGTTTAGGATTGGTCTAAGGTGGGTTCAGATAGAGTTTGGGTTGGTTGGGTTGGTTGAGTTGAGGCTTAGTAAAAAAAATCGAATCGGGGCGTTTTTAGAGTTCAAGGATGGTTCAGGGAGGTTAAGAGTAGGTTTGGGGTGCGTTTAGGGTCTGAGGTGGGTCGGGGCACGTGTAGGGTTCAGGGTGCTTCATTGCTTGCTGGCTTGCTTGCTTACCCCAGGGACTGGAACAAAATCCCAATCCAGCGGGAGAAAAAACATGAAATAATATAGCACCCATGTCTAGGCGTCTTAGTCGTTTTGCGGTAAAAGTGGTGCAAAGCAGGCAAAAGCAGTACAATGACCAAAACACCATTTTTTCCTATGTCACTAGAGCCCCCAATCCAAGCTCACCCCCTCCACCTGGCTGCTGTCTCCGCCATATTCTGGATCGCCCCAGGTCACAACAGCCCCAGATTCAAGAATGGCAGCAAAAGCACCGCCAGTTGCTTGGATGTGCTGGACGTTCCTCAGTTGCTCTTGCACCTGGCTGCTGTCTCCGACAGCTGTTGGATCGCCCCAGGTCACAACAGCCCCAGATTCAAGGATGGCAGCAAAGGCAGTGTCAGTTGCTTGGATTTGCTGGACGTTCCTCAGCTGCTGTTGCACCGGCCTGCTGTGTCCGCCACTTTGTCGAAGACCCCAGGTCACAACAGCCCCAGATTGAAGAATGGCAGCAAAAGCAGAGTCAGTTGCTTGGATGTGCTGCACGTTTCTCAGCTGCTCTCGCACCTGGCTGCTGTCTCCGCCAAAGTCAGGATGACCCCAAGTCACAACAGACCCAGATTCAAGAATGGCAGCGAAAGCATGGCCAGTTGCTTGGATGTGCTGGACGTTCGCCAGCTGCTGTTGCACCTGGCTGCTGTCTCCGCCAGCTCTTGGATCGCCCCAGGTCACAACAGCCCCAGATTCGAGGATGGCAGCAAAGGCAGTGGCAGTTGCTTGGATTTGCTGGACGTTCCTCAGCTGCTCTTGCACCCGGCTGCTGTGTCCGCCACTTTGTCGAAGACCCCAGGTCACAACAGCCCCAGATTGAAGAATGGCAGCAAAAGCAGAGTCAGTTGCTTGGATGTGCTGCACGTTCCTCAGCTGCTCTCGCACCTGGCTGCTGTCTCCGCCAAAGTCAGGATGACCCCAAGTCACAACAGACCCAGATCCAAGAATGGCAGCAAAAGCAGAGTGAGTTGCTTGGATGTGCTGCACGTTCCTCAGCTGCTCTCGCACCTGGCTGCTGTCTCCGCCAAAGTCAGGATGACCCCAAGTCACAACAGACCCAGATTCAAGAATGGCAGCGAAAGCATGGCCAGTTGCTTGGATGTGCTGGACGTTCGCCAGCTGCTGTTGCACCTGGCTGCTGTCTCCGCCAGCTCTTGGATCGCCCCAGGTCACAACAGCCCCAGATTCGAGGATGGCAGCAAAGGCAGTGTCAGTTGCTTGGATTTGCTGGACGCTCCTCAGCTGCTCTTGCAACTGGCTGCTGTCTCCGCCAAAGTCAGGATCACCCCAGGTCACAACCTCGCCTCTGTGGCCATGCCAAGCAAACGCCTTGCGCGTGGCAGCCAGTTGGCCCAGCTGCACAACCGCAGCTACCACATGCCCATCTTGCAACCCGACCTCACTCAGCGTGGCTGTCAAATCGAGTTGCCGGCCTTCCGCAATGAGCTTCAAGCGACGCTGGAAATGCCGCTGTGCTGCAGCCTTCAGCTCGCTGATGAGAGTTGCCGGTGAGAGTTCTACGGAGTAACCATCCCCACTAGCCAAGTGAATATCCACCTTCATGGCGCAGGAGGTGCATTCAAATTGCAACAAATAAAGCTTGAGACTGCAAAACACGTGAATCGTGGGCCCAATTTTGAATGGTTTGTTCGAGGAACCCCAGCAATTGATGCGCAAAGATTTCGGCTGAAGGTTGGAGAAGGTCTCGTCAGGGCAAACTGCTCTCCCCCCTCCAAGAAAAGACACCTCCCTGATGAGTGACTTGTCTGGGCTCAACGTGTCAACGTGTCTGCTTCTGGCGCAAGGGAGACACCACACCATTCATTGGTGGCTTGGAGTTTGTGGGTTGAAGGTTGGAGAAGGATGCTGGCCCATGTCTGGGTGGTTGATTTGTCAGGGGTCTGTGTCAACAGTCTCTGTTTTTGGCGGCTTTTTTAGGGGAAGGAGGGAGACACCATGCCTTTCAGGGCTGCCGTTATGTTGAACTTCACAACCCTTGGTATGGGCTTGCAAAACTGAGTCCTCTTTTTGCAGCCCCTGAAGCAGACCAAAAAACAACAACATATTGTTGACCCCTATTGGACAACTCTTTTGTATTAATATGGGGGTGCTCCAAAAGTGATGAACCCCGACTAAAACCAAAAACGCCTCCATATTCATAAACAGTGTTGATTTAGAGGGGGGTTTTCAATACCAAACAACTTGATGCCAGAACAGTGAAGTGGAAACATAGGAAGAGATGTCGACATTTCGGGCGATTGAAACCCCAAATTGTGCTGGCGAACTCCCTTTCTTATACTTGGTTCAGATAAGCAACCACATTTGGATTATACATAATATATATATATATATACATTCCACTGTGTTGGTGGTTAATAAACAGCGCATTGAGTTGTTTGTTTTGAGGGTCCAGGTATCTCTCTTAGACAAGTTCAAGTTGGCTTCCGCTCGGCTCGCTCTCGATCCGTTTCACTTCTCTACGCGATTCTGAGAACGGACAGCGGCCGATTTTGGGCTGCGATGTCGTGTGTTTCTTTTAATATATATATATATATATATATTTATTTATTTATTATCTTTTTCCGGACAAAGGACACGCGCATTTTTGTGTGTGTGTTTTTCCCACGGAAAAAAGGAGGAACACTGGAGAAGTCCTGGAAGTTGATTCGGTTCCGAAGGTTTTTTGAGGTGTCCGTTCGTGGATCCCAGGCGGTCACCCAGATAGGTCATTGGCTATTGCCTCACGCAAGCCCAAAGGACCCGGAAATAAAAGGTTAACCTTTTGGCACTTCCACCAAAAAGACCAAAACGGGAAAACCAAAAGGTCATTGGGCAACCGAGCTTGTGGGGGCAACACCCCCTGACATTCAAAATGTTCGGGCTTATAGTACATGTATCGGAATACGTGTTTAGCAAACGACAAACTCACGTAAGGGCCTCAAAGGGATGTTCAAATCACTCCAAAAGGGGGAAACATGGGTGCGGCTTTGATTGAGGATTTGTCAAGCTTCAATTTGCTTAAGCCCCTGGAACAAACATACACATACCTCCAGTAGCAATAGATTCTCCTCGAAACAACCAGGGGGAAATAGAATATACTAAATTCAGCAAATGAGAGACAGGGAAACAATCAGGAGAACCTTCACGCGCTCTCCGACTTTGGTTGGCTTGTCCATTCGGCGTGTTGTAGGCAGCACTTCACACAAAACTCTTTCAGCACGCTTTGAGCGCAGATTTGCGCCGATGTCATTAGAGCCCACAATCCAAGCTCACCCCCTCCACCTGGCTGCTGTCTCCGCCAAATGCTGGATCGCCCCAGGTCACAACAGCCCCAGATTCAAGAATGGCCGCAAAAGCATGGCCCTTCAAAATCGCCACGAACAGGGAAGAAAGCCTCAAGAGACACCATGTAAGGGTCTTCTACCGCGTTTTCCCCTTGGGGAAAGTGATACTGAGCGCAGGGGCATCCGGGCATCCTAGTTTTCTTTCTTTGCAGTTTTACACCGCCATGGTCAAAATGTGCTGTACCCGCTTTCCTCCTTGGCCATGTGAGACTCTCCTGTTTTTGCAGGGAATTTAGAGAGTCCCTGATGCACCCGCCGAATTGACCATCGACTGGAGATGCCGACTGAAGCTTCGTTCATCCGGGCCTGGCAGTCGTAGAGCCGCTGCAGCAACGCCACGCAGGAGCTCTTTCCGCTGCCCGACTGGCCCACCAAAGCGACGACCTGACAGGCGCAAGGCGCGACCGAGCAGTGCGTCGGAGCGGCCTTCGTTGAAACACCTGCGCGCTTGAAAAGCTCCCCGCCCCCTGTCAAACAGGAAATCGACCTTGGAGATGCGTCCCTGAAGGGATACACAATCGTATGATAGTATGGGCATCTCGGAATGGGTCACGGCTTACGTTTGGTGGCGAATTGAAAAAGAAACATCATGACATCATCCATGTTAAAATCATCACGGGTGTTTGTTGAAGGAGAAGGGTTGCAACATGTCTGGTGTTGACCGTGTTGACCTCCTCCACCAAGTTTGTGCATGTTCCGCGTCGCCTACCGGAGCCGCTGAGAAAACACGTTTCGTAATGATCCTCTCAAATGAGAAGCGAACTGATCAGCTCCTTCTTTTCGAGTCGCAAACAAAACAGACCTGTGAACCCAATCTAACTTGAAAACCACAAGAGGGCACGCCGCAAAAAGCAAATCTCGGTCATGGACATACTGACTATTACCGTCAAACATGTGGCAGTGAAGGAGTTCCCTTGGATACATCTGTTGACAGTACCGTTCCCATATTTTTATTTCACCAGCGCCGGCGCCAGCATGCGCTGTACGCGTGGGTTGCCCGTATCGAATAAGTGCACGGGCGCCTGGTTGGGCTCAGCCTTGAAGCTCACATTCTTGAGCACTTGGGTCTCTGGGCCTCGGAACAAGAAATGCCCCAAAGATGGAATGCCCCAAACATGGACCCATTGTTGAGCCGTGTTGGGGCTATTTATTCGGATTGAGGGGGGCACTTGTCATCATAGAATGAAAAGGCGTGTCACCATCGGCCCAACGTCCCGCGTGAGTGATCTTCTTCCCGTAGGTTACAGGGCTCCGTGCTTCGGCGCTGATGACAAGCTGTGTCAGCACACGATCCTGCATTTTTGAGCAATGGCCGTAGCTTCCTGGAGAATTGCACATCGCCAAGCGTCGAGTGACATAGTTGAAGCAAACATTGTCAAACTCCAGCTTGCCCTTGCATTCCGCAGGCTCCAGTGTTCCTTCTACCTGGACCTCAGATGGCGAAACACCAGGAGAAACTGCTCGTCAACAAAACCCTCAAGACCGCCATGAAAAAAGCCAGGCTGCATGCCAAACAGTTAGGGCGTTGGAAGGGTTGAGTCTAAAGTAGGGGTTCACTTGAGCCGAGGCTGAGGTGATTTTTGTTGTTGTTTTTGCATAGCCCTGGCATTAGCCTAACCCTGGCACAGACCGGAGACACTAACGGACAAAGATTTGGGGTAGGTTTAGGGTTCAAAGCTGGTTCAGGCCCGGCATCGTTTTAACATTCTCAGCATCGTTTTCAACATTCTCAGCATCACCAGGTTTTGGTTTAGGCTGGGTTTAGGGTGGGTTCCAGGTTGGCTCAGGGTTGGCTCCGGGTGGGTTCCAAACCTATTGAGAACAAATTTGGGTGGCGGCTAGGAAAAAAAAAACTGTCCCTTGAGCCGAAGCCCAACAAAAAGCGTTCATGAACAGCGGGTTCAGCTGAGAATGAAGGCAACTAAGTGCGTTTACGAACATTTGGGCACATGACCACTTGAACAAGTGTGCAACTAAACGTGTGGGTTCAGAACGGTAAGGCAACCAAACGTGTTCGCCAACAACCCGATGCTTCCTACCGCGCCGCAGGCTCGCGGTCGATGATCTGGAAGATCTTCACTGTAGCGCCGATGGCCGAGGCGAAGCTCGGCATGATGCCTCGGATCAGTGGGTTTTATATATATATATAGACACCCCGTGGCTGTGGGATGTTATTTTGAAAAACAAAAACACATTGGGATCTTGTTTGTTGTTTAAAAGCAAAAACAACACCCCATGGGTTTGGGTTTTTATAAACACACCTTGGGTTAGGTGCTTTGTTTTTTGAAAACCCAGTGCATATGTGGAGTGTCTTCGCACCCTTTGGCTTTCCAAGTAAACCAACCCCGAAAAGGTGCTCCCTTTTCCACTGGCCAGGAGTTGGCGAGAGGCGGCATCAGCCTCGCCAGCATCATTTGGACCGTGTGGCTGGTTTTTCTGATGCTGGGGATGACCAAGCCGACCCAACTAACCAATCAACCAACTAACCAGCTACCCCGACCAACCAGCTACCCTCAACAAAACAGCAAGCCCATTTGACAAAACCGGCTACCAACTGTATAAAGCAAAACTCGAGCGGCCTAAATGAGCAACGGCAGTTTCAAAATCGTAAACGGATCGTATGAATGAAGACCTGGGAAAGGGCGCGCTGAAGTCAGTGTTTGCCTTCAACCAAAAACAATAGGGTACCATCAAAAAGGGCGCGCGTTCACCAAACCCAAAGTGGTTCCTCACTGTTGCTCTCCTCCCCGCCCACGGCGTCGCTGGATGCTGTCCCAGGGTCTGCCAAGCATTGCCACCGAGCCGGACAAGCTGACCTCACTCCGACATACGGAGGTTTGCCCCCGCTCTCTCCCACGGACTTGCTTTCTGGCAGGCTCCACGATAGGGACGGGATATGTCAAAGTGGGGCCAGGTTCAACTCAAGTCAGTTCAAAAGGAGACCAACATGAAACTGAGCAGTTCAGACATCCATTCTTAATGAAGTCTGTTCTCACCTCATCCGCCGTTCCTCATAATTCGGTGACTGTGCCAAATGTCATTCCCTCTCGGAAGATGACGGTGGATGACCGTATCTCACATCTACCCTGAGACCCAGAAGCATGCATAGCAATCAACCCGGGCGTCCAAAGGGTTCGGACGTTTGGCGCACTCCACACGGCCAGCAACTTTGGAAGCTCCCTCCCTGCTCCAATACATTGCTCCAATACGCGGCTAATATTCCAAGCAAACTAAACCTTGATTCCGGGAACCAAAACGGCAGGAACTGGGGACGAGCAGGGATGGAGGGAAGAACCCACTTCCTAGCGGCCAGTGCTAATTCGCCATAGTGCCATAGCAAGGGGAGCATTGGGAAGGTCCTGGGCTTTTCTGCTCCCGGGGCGACCGTAATTTGCGACTAAATGTGATGGCTGTTGGGAGTGGGCTGTGAATCAAATGACAAAACAAACCGAATTCATCAAGCTGCCCGAGCTCTTTAAAGGGACACTACAGGGAAGCCACACATTCTGCGGCTTGTTCAAACGAGACAATCCTCACGAGCGACTTTGCGCGGACGTGCGAAACTCTCAGGGCGGCACCGTGTAGAGCACGAAGGAGATCAAAGCTCCGGAGCTCATCTCCCCTGCCTCCACCAGGCCGGCGCCTTGGATCGGATTCACCGATTTGCCCTTTGGCTAAACGACCCAAAACGGCCTGCCACTGATTTCTGGTCAGAAGGATTCTATACCCCAAGAAAGTGGGTGGATACCCCGGCCATCCGTGGTTCCCCCCCCTCACACATACAGCAAAGCATGAAAGCGTACAGCGGCTGAGCCTTGAATGTGGACATTGTGCAAGTCCAAAATTATGGCTGCTAGACGGTTGTTTCTGCAGACCTTTCACTATGGTTGTCAACTGTCAACAGTGTTCTGGTCTTTCAACATGACCATGATTCTCCCAAACACAGGCCGGACAGCATTGCAGATTGATCAGGAATTATGCGGTGCGGCTTCTACCATCCCTTGCGTATCATGAACGGCTTTAACAAACCTCGCACAGTGTTTCTCCAGCAAGGAGTTAAGCCCCGCTCCGTAACGCAGCACAATGGTGAAGGCGACAAAGAAGAGCAAACCGACCTCGGTCATCCAGATAGATGTTTAACCCACTTGGTAACTAGGTCACCGCCGTGTTTGTGTGGGTGCATCTTTCTGCTGAGGGGTACTCTGTTATAGTGGTTCAAGGGAAACCAAATGGAAATGAACCAGTTTTTAAGGTGCCCCATTTTAAGACGAGCCCATATTCCAATCAACCCTGTTGTCCCACTAACCATGGCTGAACTTGCTAAATAGCAAGAACTTCGCAGTTGCAAATGCCTTGCTTCGACTGTGACCCGGGAGCTGGGAAATGCCCCGCCCCCCCGCCACTCAAGGGGGCTCGCCTGGAGAGGAAGCACCAAACAGACGTAATTGGTGTGATCAAGAAGGGTGTTGACCAGCCAGAAGCCAAGGGTGCTTCTGATTTCTGAGCCAGCGGCAACTCCTGACCAGGCCCCATAGATCATGGACCGCTGCCGACCATATTTGTAGACTTTGTCGCTTGCGGTACCTAGGGGGCGCGCGTTGGGAGGTTCCTGCAAAAAGACGGTGCACCCAACGTTTCAGTCCCTCCAAATTCCTTTGTAACGGACTTTCGAGACGGCTTCGAGCTGCGGCATGGACAAATTTCAGGTTGTTTTTCCTGCTTTTTTTTAACTGAATTTTGTCCCAAAACTGCTTTGCAAGTCGATCCGTACTTCGCTTGCCAAAAAACCTGCTAGTGAATAATTCGGACGGTCACGCGGGATCCGTGACACTGCCAGGCAAAGGGAGGGGCCAGGTGCGGCTGCCTGGTGATGTGGGCTTTTGCCTTCTGACCTGGGCTTTCCAGTTTTGCAACCCTTGTCGAGTTGCAATCTGGCTGTGGTTGTCAAAGCTGTTATGGTATGCCATTTTGGTTGCACGGCAAGGTCCCTGCCCATTTATTCGTTTGGAGGCTGCAAAACGCCCCAACATGAGCAGAAAAGGATGCATCGCCTACGACAGGTAATGCGCTGCTATCGTTCAAAACTGCTGAGTTGATTTTGAAAAGTTGACTTGACCAACAAGTCGAGCCGCAGTACTTCTTGTTCATGAGCTTTTCACCGGAGCTGAACGCTCGCACAGTCCGCAGGTTTCCGAAGGTCTCCGAGGCGATGTTCCCACACTCCGCAGTCCTCAAATGCCGTCCAGCATCTTCAAAAAACAATTCAAGCGGCCGCTGGAGAATCGACGGGCCGGGCAACTGATGTCTTTTTTTTTTGCGTGAAGGATGCCTCATTGCTAAAAGGGAATCCAAAGGGAACCTCATTTTAAGACGCAACTGCATGTCAGTTGCTGTTGCTCGTTGGTTGTTGGCACTGTACCTTTCTCCATGCTATGAGCAGTATCACTCTGAATGCGTCCAGGGGTCTCATCCTGATAACTCTTGCTCACCTTCCTGGAAAAGTGGCCCATGACCGCAGCCAGAATGCTGACCTGGGCCAATCTCATTTTCTTCCAAACACACTGCCCACCCAATCAGCCAGACGCAGAAACAGTGAACAAAACATCCAAAGAGCAGGCATACCACCTACCTACAGATCAACGCGACTCAGAGCGCCCAATTCGATGCCTGCGTCCATCCGATGCCCAGCCCATTTCCTTCGACTGGGCCGAACCTCCGCCTTCGGCCGAACTCCTCGGGCCCCGCACCACCGGCACGGTGAGCAGCATGGCCAAGGTGAGCTTCCAGGAGGTCACCTCAGACCGGCGTGGCCATACGAAAAAAAGCGACCCGAGGGCGAACTGCTTGGGGACATCTGGGAAAAACGAAGGTGACAAGTTCAAGCATATATGCCCCTGTTTTTTCTTTTTGGTTGGGAGAAGCTCTCTTGTTGATTGGCTTTGAAGGGGCAAAACCCATTTCCCTGATTGGTCAAAACCACTTGGATCCCCAAAATGAGCAGGATCTTCTTTGACGCGGTACCTTCATTCCACTCAAGAAGCAGGTCAAAAAGCAAACCTCGGCGAGATATTGATCAGGAGCTATTTTGACCAGGCGAATTGGATTGCGAAAGGAAAACACGTGAAAGGAACGGCAAGCGACCATGTTGAAACTGGGCCAAGCTTAGACCCCTGCAAAAGCCAACTTTTGCAGGTAAGGGATCATGAAGGAATCCTGCTTGTTTTGACATGGTGCGCATTTTGGAACCATGTGCAATTTTAAGGGGCATGGCCGAGATCCTGGCGCATGGTTCTCGAATTCGACGAAGTTGTGGCTGGGGGAAATGCACAGCTTGCCCCGGATTCAACGTCCAGGCGCCAGCATAACGATCAACGACAGCAGGAGGCTCGCGCTGCAGCGGAGGAAAATGGAGATGTTGGAGCTGGCCTGAGACTGAGATACCCCATGCCTATCAAGCATCAACAGATCAATGTGTTCTTGTGTGTCCTTCTGCATGTCTTCTGCATGACTCTTGCAGCCTCTCCATGCCTCGCGAACAAACTGACAAGTTTATTTTGTCCAGCACAAACAACTTGGGACAGGGGTGGGCATTGTGTAGAAAGTTCTTGACCTGAAGCCCGAGATCGGCAGGTGGCTGCACCTGAAGAAGGGGACTCTCTTGCTTGAGTCATACCCACCCAGCAAAGAAGAATACCGATGAATGGGACACCTGACCTGTATTCTATGTGGTTTGGTCATCCTGTGGCTCAGACGGGGAAAGCCAAATTTTGACGTTCGAAAGTGCACCGAGTCATGTAGTTGCTGGAGGACAAGGGAGGACAAGGTCGATATTGATCAATAATCGAACAGGAGGACGAGTGAAACAGAGCAACAATGAAAGCGCAATGCCCATTAAAAAGTAACCCCCAAAGATATGTGTCGTACGATTACTCCCCCGTGTTCCCAGAATAAGACCCTACTGAAGTCTTGTTGAGGCCTTGTTTGAGGGGAGGGGCAAATCCTTTAAATGTGCTGATACGGCTGCTGCTGATGTTGCTGATGCTGCGGACGCTGCTGATGCTGCCGATGGACATGAGAATGCCGATGCTGATGCTGCTGAACATGAGAATGCTGCTGGTGTTGCGAAATGCGGTCACGAATCATTGGCATGATATTGCAATAGAGGATGAAGGATTAGATGCTAGTAAGCCGATGTGGACAGCTTGCTTAGCTTTCTGCTGCTTTTCTGGATGCCAGATCGGCTCCAGATCGGACCATAGCCCCAACGCCCTACAGAGTTGTGTCACAAGGGTGGATTGTTGGCCCTTGAAAAGGACAACAAAGGGACATGTTTCCAGTTCGTGGCTTCAACCCACTCCCCACGCTCCGCACAGCCGCGCTGCGGCGTTCTGCAGAGTGCCGGTGTCGTTGGTCAGCCGGGAGACCAAGGCCTCGGTGAAATCGGGGGTTCCAACTTGATAAATCAGGAACCATAGCTTTCCCCTAAGAGGCGTACCCCGCATCATGGTCATGGGTCCTTGAAAGAAGCCCCAAAAGGGGTATCGGTTTGGACCCCCAAATTGGGTGTCACACATTTGAAGGAACCAAATATTGTCAGGCAAGAACCCTAAAGAGGGACTCCATTGAAAGAACCCAAAACGGGAACCCTCAAACATTCAAAAATTGTCATAGGTGTCCTTTGAAAGAAGCCCCAAAAGGGATACCCTCAAACATAGTCATAGAAAAGCTCTCGACAAAGCCCCCGCACACTCATAGACTCAGCATCCAGTTACTACTCGCTTTCCATCCAAACAATCTGGGCGATCAAGGGAGAGAGGGGGGTTCCATAATTCCATGTTCAAACAGGCAGGATCCGATCTCCTGAAAAGTTCAATCAATCAGGGAAACCGACACGACATGCAAAAAGAAAAAACTCCTGTTGGGATCAACTCTTTTGTGGAGGTCCATGTAAATATGCGGAAGGACAAACGCTCACGGAGTGATGCTGTTGGAAGCACCAGGCAGAACATGCCAATGCCTGTGGTTTGGGTCCCATTGCAAATCTAAAACACGAAGACCACACAAGTCTGTGTGGCAACACAGGCTCCGATGCACAAACATGAGCGGTTGGATTCATCATCCGTAGACTGAGGCGAGGAATGTATTACATTAAGCATGACCAAATCCCGTTGACAGGAGCCGGTCTTGGAGAGTGCCTTTGCCAAACCTGGCGCTGCCTGTCTGCAAGCCTGCAACACCATATCCCACGTGGTGCCACCTGGGTTCTCAAAAGTTTGTGGAGCTCCACTCGCTTGGTCCTGTTGGTTTCAATCCTTGTCCTTCGACGGACACATCTACAACGCCCCCCATCCCCTCCCCTCGCTGAAGCGGCTCCGGTGGTCTGCACATCGAAGAAGCCCACTTCTTGGCGGAGCAAGGCTTGGAAGACCTGAACCAAGGCGAAACTACTCAACCTCCTACTGACAAAATCCCTCCAAACCCGCAGTTGGGATTGGTTGTGTATCAACCAAATAGGGTTTCCAGAAATGTCTGTCCAACCACAGTAGCATGCTTCTTCCTACAGCTAGTAGCACATGTGTTTGGTGACAAATCTGCCTGGTGACGCCCCATTGGGACAACTAGTGCCTTCAACTGGATGTGCACAGGCTCCCTTTCCATGGGGAAAGCAGTCCAAAGGTGTCTGAGCACCAAACCGTTGGTGGTGCACCTTCTCCCAGTGAAAGTAGACCTTTGGGGCCTTTTCAAGAGGATGGTCTTCCAAACCCCGCCTATCCACTGTCCCCTTTCATTGTGCAAAAGGGTACCTCCAAAAGGAGCGAGAGACGTCGCCTGCTTCCGGAGCTCCCGCACGATCCGCTCACCGGCCAGCACGAACAGCATGCCTGAACCCCAAAAACCGAAACGACGATCTCTGAGGCAACCCAAGCTTGGAACGTGTTTCTGACAGAAAGCACTCCCCCAGCTGTCCAGTAACCCTGGGTAGAAAAAAGAGAGAATCCGTTTCTGCTTGGAGTCGACCATGTTTGCGGGTCCCGCCGCTGAACTGTTGGTCTTCGGCACGCATGGCCCAGAAAAACTCCAAACCCGAATCGAAGAACAAATCTTAGCCTCTCACCTCGAACCATGGAAGTCAAGGCGGACAACACAGCCACCACCAAGATCTCCACCGTGACCTGAAGCGGTGCAAAATCGGCAAGAGCGCGGATTTTGTTGGGCAAGAAGGACAAGCGCGCAAGGGTTGAGATCTGTTTTCACTTTCCGCTGACATGAGCAGCGGTCAATATTCGCCATCATCCAGTGTCAGTTGGGTACATGCTGAGTGTTGACTGTGGTTCGCATGCCCGTTCCGGGCATGGGGTAGCCTTTCATATATGTCTTTCATTTAGATTGTCAGTGCCCTAAGCAAAGGCTCAAGCAGCGGTGAAAAACGAAGGGGTACAACTTAAAATGAGGAGAATCAGCGTTCCGTCCCTTGGCTGGTGATTCTTAAAGCTTGGTGGCTCGTCCCCCATATCCTGGACTGCACAAATTGAGATGGTGCACATTATGTGCTAACTCCTTGACTGGCAAACACGACCCCCGATTTGTTTCGGAGTTGGTACGCTTTTAAAGGGTCGTTATAAATGCTAACCAAAAGGAAACCACACGCTTTGGAAGTTGCCCCTCCCAGTAGACAACCCCACTTACTCAAGATCTGCTGACAGGGTTGATGAGTGACCAACTGTCCCGAAAACAGTCAGCAGGTTGAGACTGCAGCGCAAATGAGCATGGCGCAGGATGAACAATTCGATGCTTCGGTGAATTGGAATGAAACCGAGGCAGTGCTGAAGTCGGGGTGGTCCATTTACAATTGGGACAAGTTTCGGCCACACATTCAGCAGAGGGCAAACAGCTTCAAACAACAAAATTTGAAAAGACCACTCCGGCTGTAGTAGCGCGTTGCTGTTGATGCACTACTTTGTTCCCTTCAGCCACATTCTCAGCTTGGATGTTTTTGTGGCAAGCGGTCAGCGTGCTGCATGCAAGCACACAGCATCCTCCCGGCCTGGTTCAGCTTATCCGTGTTGACATCGTGGCCACCACCAATCATTTGTACAAACTGCCCACCATAGAACGGCAGCAGCATCATCAAAGCACCTCGGATGTGTGCACCCACATGCCAGATACGGCTTCACGCTTGTTTGCCTCTTAGCAAAGCATCGCTTCGAAATGCTTTGGGCATTGGGGTCTATCAAGGCCCTCGTGCCCACCGTTTGAGTACCACAACAAACACCAGATTTCCTCCAGCATAGTTTGGGTTGCTCTTGTGAGCATCGCACAGTTCTGTCCTGAACCAAGCCCAAGGCACTATTCAGGTAGAGGCAAAATGTTGCCGGCACAAGGATGCGCGCTTCACTAGCAGCAAGCTTCAAGATCTTGCCTCAGCATCGGCAAAGGATCCCCTTCTCCCCTGCCTCCCTCCCTGCCTCCCTCCCTCTCTCCCTCCATCCCTCCCTCCCTCCCTCCCTCCCTCCCTCTCTCTCTCATTGTTTTGGTTGCTCATGCTCATCTCGGTTTAATTCAAGACACCCTGAACAACTTGAGCCGCAATGTGACTGCGCATTATTGCAGTGTATTCGTTTGTTGGTGCCCATGCCGGCAGGCTATGCCTTCTCCTTTCTGACATGTTTTCCAAACACATGCACTGACTTGATCTTCCTTTGGTCTCACTGCCAGCATCAGCATCAGTATTGTCAGCATCGTCGGCATCAGCATCAGCACCATCATCGGCATCGTCAGCATCGTCAGCATCGTCAATCAGCGTCATCATGAATTTCACCATTACCATCTACCACCACCACCACTTGCCACCACCATCCTTGACGTCCTCCCCTTCCTCCTCCAGGCTCCCCTCTGCAGCCACTCACGTTCAATCAAGTACAGTCCTGGGGTGCATACTTACATAACCAGTGCCGTGACAGGTTGACCAGACATATCCTGCTTTGTCAAGGGCAATATGTGCCTCCCGATTCTCACAGGACAAGAACAGGTGAGCCCCCAGTCTTTGTGAGGCGGTTCTCCCCCGACATCTGTTATATGCGTGCAAACCTGGGTTCCCAAGCCTCTTTCTGAAGCTTCGGAAGCGGAAGTTGCTGCTTCTTCGCTTGCAGTGGCGAAAAAAACCAAACCAGTGGGCGTGAGTTCTTCGATCAACTTTGGGCCTTGCAATACCACGGTTGTGAACAATACCGTGTTGACAAAAAATGTGTATATATATATATATATATGCACACGTATATGTGAGGGTATCATGTCAAATTATGTCTATATAGGCATGTGTATAAGGGTCAACATCTGCAGGCCGAGTGTCCGGATGGGGTGTTCCGGCGCGACATGAAGGCTCCAAACAGCAGGGAAGCCACCGAGATGAAGACGATCACCTTGGGTCTGGGGTCTGACCATTGTCAACAGCTTAGGCTAAAGGGGAATCTCTGAGAAGTAAGTGTTTGAGATGGGGGAAAAACAGACATGAGACACCGTACTTACTAGAGTCTCTGGAAATGCTGATAAAACACCTTTGATATTCCATTTAAGTGGGAGCAAATGCAGCTAGCATGAGAATATATGAGTTGCGAAGGTTGTTGGTTAGCGAGCAAGCAAAACAACACATTAACCGCATGTCCCTCTTACAGGGACCCAATTCCGGATGCCATGCTTGTTCTTGGAAGATATGTAGCTAAGAAAGATTGACCCTATCCATCAGGAAAACCTGCCGGGTTGTCAAAAAATCAGGGTCCCATGGCACTGATGACGGCACGTGCCGCCTTCAGAAAGATCTAGAAAGGAGATTCATGATTTGACCTCGCACATGATCAGATAGTTCTAGGAGTCCCCATTATTTTCAACCATCGTTCTTTTCAAAAATCAGCTGTTTCGTGGTTTTCCGGCAAAAGGATCCTGAAAAGAACGTTATTCCCAGAATGGTTGCCATGGACAAATGGAAGAATCTTGACCTCGGGGTCGCCCCAAGACCCAAAGGGGAACCAAGGGAAGACCAGACCAAATCTCTACCCTTGGTCGACATGAAGGATCGCAGCAACCTGAACAATTTGAACAACTCCAAGTGTCTACCTGCAGCCAAAGCCCTTACATGGCAACGTGGACAGGAGGAGGTTATCCAGCTGGTCACAAATTATTGGCGAAAAGAGCAAAAACATTTCCAGGGTACTTTGTGCTGGCCCTGCAGAGCACCTGTCTCATTGGGACCACCTTTTTGATGGTTCCAGCAAATGAAATGGAAGCCCAACATTTGAAGGGGCCCCATATTTGGAGACACAGTCAAGAATTGATTTGCCGGCCCATGATTTTGAAGGTAAGCCGCATGGAATTGTTTTGGATCTCTTCCGCTCTTCCGGAGAGTGTTACGAAAAAAGAGCCGGTGCATCCTGGCAGGGTGACGGGCAGTTCGCCCTTGCCACGGTTTTTATGACTGTAGAACAACAAACAAGACATCAGGAAATACGCATCCGTAAAACCAAAGACAGTGCGCAAAGCCAACCTTTTGTGGTGTTGAGCCTGATCCAGCTCCAAAAAAAAAGAAGCAATATCAACCTCCTAGCGCATATGAAGTTGGAAGATTCGGCACTTTCGCGCCTTTGCATGTGTTGTAGCATTGGTTCTGTCTGTATATCCAAACACTGGAAACAACTCACGTTCAAGGGAAAAGGCCCGGTCAACTTTGATAACCCCTGTGGATCTCCGGAGGACTCTTCAGGTGTTGTGGTTGTTGGAAACCCGGAAGACTGCGACGAGGCCAATGACGGCTTGTTGGGTTGCAGCATGTGGAGACGCACAGGAACGCAGATCTCAGGCCTGACTTTTCTCGCAGGGACCCTGCTAGGTTCCATCGGGAGAGTATCTGAAGGGCTGCCAGGGCGCCAGCACCGCCACGAGCCCTGCCTCCACAGGGGTGACGCCCTCCGGCAGGGATATGCCGCCGCCTGGGAACAAAACAGCGTCCGTGTTTTTTGTTTTGTTTTTTTGTTTTAACGAGGGGCCAAAGAGTTGCCGCAACTACAAACATTGGTTTGTGACTCCAAAGTTGGTTTTGTACCCCCAAAAAAATATATATAATCTGTGACTCAGTTAGTTTTCTGGTACCAACCAACTTAGGACCCACAGACAGATTTGCCCTTTTTTTCCCGGGATACCCTCGCATGCACTTCCACACCTCCGGGCATCGGTGCGGACCAGCGGAGCCATGCCTCGACCAAAACTGGATGTGCCGAATTAGGGATCTGCACCCAAGGTGAGCTGCCATAGAATTGGCAGAATGGTACCCTCCAACATTCAATTTCGGTGTTCCTCTCGGTCTGCTTTAACGCAGACCCAGGTAAACCTTCCCCGAACCTGCCTGGAACGCTTAGCTTAGACGTCGCTGTTGGGTACCGTGTTCCCCTTGAAAGCCACCTCAAACAGGGTGCGTCCTCAAGGAGACCCTAACCGAAACTTCAAACAGGGAAGCCCCAAAGTGCGGCCTTCCAGTCCCTTTGAAACCACCAAGAAAATCTACCCCGCAAAAAGTCGAAAAGTCGCCACTCCAAAAGCGGACGGGTGCCTCAGCTTCTGGTCGGCTCAGCTCCGAGGGCCCGGCAAGGGGCTGCTCCAAGGGAGCCGCGGCCTTCTCGAAGATGGACACAGCGCCGTCGATGACAGACATCTGGCGATAGGAACGGCTCCCCTGCATCCAAGGGGAAAACCTCAAAAAAGGGGGTGAACAAGCCTTCCACAATGATGGCTGGACAAAAAGACTCCCCCCACCCTCCACCTTCCCCATTCTTCTGGTTGCAACAGGTCCCTCCTCATCCAAAGGATGGTCCATGCCCCCGCCATTTGGGATGGGCTTGAAAGGGGAACCCCAAAAAAACTAAAACACAAAGACATTGGGTCCAGCCCAATTTTAGTTGAAACCCTCTGCGCCTTGAGAGCGCCGGCTTTTTTGCCAGCCGCTGCGGTTGCTGGTGGCAAAATGTGCCAAGAGGGGAGTCCAGGGACTTTGGAGGAGGCTGAGGATGGGCCATCGCCTTTTCCAGCTCTCCCTTGTAAAGCAGGTGGTCTTTGGATGTGTCCTTCTACGGGACCCTGGATGAAGCGAGGGATGCCAAGACTCATGGTGCGGGAGCTTGGAGTGACACAAAGCTCCACCAAGTGCCAATGATTGCTGACTGTGACTGGGCCAGGGCAAAGTCTTACCCCAGCCTACAAGAAAAAGAGGGGAAGAAGGGAACCGCTCAGCAAAACTCGCAGAGTACTCACAACATGATGGGCCGATGCGAGGGCCTGAAAATTGCGCTGACCACAGGCGGAAAAGGCAGCTACAGCGAGTGGCCGTTGTCGTGAAAGAAAGTGGGTACCAGGCTGTTGCAAGCGTTTTCGATTGCCAAAGTTCAACATACAGGGATGAGATGTGAAGCTCTCTCGTGTCGCTCGTCTCATGCCTTTGCTCTGGCTACTGTCTTGCAATGGCTGTCTGACTTGTCATGGTTGGCTCCGAGAAACGGCGACGGGGCAAATCAGACTTCTATTTGTCGCAGCTGCCTATTGCCTTGGACACCTCTGAGTTGCATTTTTTAGGGGTCCTCAAAAGGAGGAGTCCCCAAAACGCCCACATTCTGCTCTTGTGTTTCTCGCCTTTCACGTGTTTCTTCTTCTCCTTTTTTGCAAGGCCCCCATGACTTAATTCACGGGTGCTTTGGCCCTTCCACCTTAGGCCCCAGAACCGGTGAGTTGAGGCAGGAATCATTGGACCTGAGTTCCAGGTCGCCTACCTGGATGACCCATGTTTACACAAGGCCGAACCACTTCAGGTTGCTTGAGGGATACCGAACGCCCCGAAGTTCAAGGGACCAACAGAACTTGAAACCACAAGGACAATTCCGAAACGAGCAAGCAAGCAAGCAAACGAACAAACAAACTAAAACATGGAGTCGTCCAGCGCGAACAAAAAAGGTGCGGCCCTTCTGCTCTACGCTTCAGACGGTGGATGCGAGGCGCCGAAGCCAATCCACTGGGAGGTGGTTGGCACCTTCTGGAGACTCTCTTGTCGCTTCTCCAGCAGCATCCTCGGTCCATGCGTGTGTGTGTGTGTGTGTTGACATAGGGATGCGAACCACCCATGGACTTTGGCGATCCGCCAGATCAAAGCGCCAAGCAAGTTGCAGCGCTGCACCTAGCTGTCCCTCTACAGGAGGTGTTCAATCGAAGCCGTCCCAGGTGAGCTCTCCATGTAGATAGCCTCCTTCAAGAACTGAGAAGAAAACGACTGGTTACTACTATAGTGGTAATCGGGCGCATTGAAATGGGGGTGGATACTATCAAACCTGCGCCCCCTTGTTCCCTACTTGCAATGTCGAGGGTATTCGCGGTAGTTTTGCTTTTTGTAAAACAAGTTTTATGGTTGGACACTTTGGTTGAAGACTCCTTGGCTGAAACAAATTCAATGGACCAGTGACGCAGCCCAACCGAAATCGTCACCCACCCATACGAAGCCATGATACAGGTTGTGTTTGGTAATATGATGTATGGACGAGGTGGACAAAGCAATCTAAATGAGCCATCGGCACAGCGCTGGGCTTGCTAGGCCATGGCGACCATGGCGGCCCTTGAAAGGAGGCACTCAAGACTAGAAGCCAACCTGCAATCCTGCCTGTGGCAGTCAGTTTCGACCCTGATCTCACACTACCCTTGAATTTCAGATCAAGACAAAGGCTCTTTGACCGCCACTGGGTCCATAGGCCCAGTGGACCATATGGGCCATCCCTAAGGGCCCCCGCACGGCCGCATCCCGGCTGTTGGCACGGATGGACGCGGAAGGGGCCTGTGGCCAATGACCAGAGGCAGCAAGGCAATCAGGCCATATAGGGCCTAAACAATTACCCACGTTCTCGTGTGATCAGACTTAATTTGGGTCTTACCGTAGCCCGCAAATTACAAGCCGCGACAAAAAGGCGAAGCAAACATGCCTTGCCATGCGTGCTGTGCATGATTTGGTGTATGATCATCTTGAACACTGCCATGAACAAGCGTTGGGATTATTTTCGACCCGTCGCCAGTCTCTTCTCTGCTGACCAAGCTGAAAGCCACTCCACAGCACTTGCAAACAGACCAATTGGGACATGAGTCAACCAAATGCCACGAATAAACAAAGAAAGCCACTAAAACCAATTGTCCGAAACAAAGTTTGTGCTAGTTCACAGCGACCTTCATTGATTGCTTGCAGCAACATATTGAAGTCATTGAGGTGGTCCTCCCCGCAGCAGCAAGCAAGAGAAGACAAGGCTTACGAAATCTAGGATGAGGTTCACTCGACTTGAGCTTGCGCAGATCTCCCCCTTCGTGGGATCGTCCCGTGCATGCAAGCAAACCAGATGACTTTGTTTGACTCAATGCAGTTTGAGGGTGTAACGCTGTAACACTGATTAAATTGGACAGTAACACCAACTGCAAGGAGCAAACAAGCAGCATACAACATCCTCAGTGGCCGTGCAGCTGCATGAAACGTCAGAAGGATTTGAAAAAGGTCATGTAAGTTTGCGCTCCCAAGTCAGAATCCCAACATATCCGCCGACCCTTTCTCTAAAAAGGGGAGGCGCATGGGAAGGGTGGTTGGCGCATAAGTAAAACAAAGTTTCATCCTCATCAACAGCAGCAGCTGCAGCTACGATAAATGTTATCGTCACGGTCATCGTGATCATCATCCTCCTTATCATCATCTCTTTCTTATTCTCTTATCCTTGTCATCATTATCATCGTTGTGGTCTCTTATCATGCAGCATTAGTGCTGCAGAGGATGCTACGATGATTTTTATCATCACAGCCGGTAGTGATGCCAAGGAGGCTACGATGATAATTATCCGCGGGCAATAACGATCATGAGGCCTGGCCATTATCATCACGGTTGTCGTCATCTCTTATCCGGCAGCATTGGTGATGCAGAGGATGCGATGATAGTTGTCATCGCAGCCGTTAGTGATGCTACGGATGCTACGATGATAGTTATCATCCTTGTCATCATCTTTATCATCGTCTGATCATCACCTGCCATCATCTCATATCTTATCATATCTTACTATACATATCTTACTATATATAGAAATCAAAAGGGACGTTAGACATCCTTGGCAATGCAAAGGATGCGATGATGATAGTTATCAAGGAACAAGTAGTGATGCAGAGGATGTTGTGATGATCGTTGTCATGACGCGGATGATAACGAGCAACAGGCCCGTGCTATTATCATCATGGTCGTCGTCATCTCTTCTCAGGCAGCATTGGTGATGCAGAGGATGCTTGTCATCGCAGCCGTTAGTGATGCTACGGATGCTACGATGATAGTTATCATATTTGTCATCATCTTTATCATCGTCTGATCATCACCTGCCATCATCTCATATCTTACTATACTATATATAGAAATATATATAGAAATCAAAAGGGACGTTAGACATCCTTGGCAATGCAAAGGATGCGATGATGATAGTTCTCAAGGAACAAGTAGTGACGCAGAGGATGTTGTGATGATCGTTGTCATGATGCGGATGATAACGAGCATCAGGCCCGTGCCATGTATCATCATGGTTGTCGTCACCTCTTATCAGGCAGCATCGGCGATGCAGACAATGCTGCGATGATGGTTATCATCACAGCCGTTGGTGATGCTAAGGATGCTACGATGATAGTTATCATCCTCGTCGTCATCTTTCTCATCATCTGATCATCATCTGGCGTCATCTCATGTCTTATCATATCTTACTTATTACTTATCATATCTTACTTATTATTATGTATAAAAATCAAAAGGGACGTCAGACATCCTTGGCAATGCAAAGGATGCGGTGATGATAGTTATCAAGGAACAAGTAGTGGTGCAGAGGATGCTACGATGATGTTGTCATCCTCGTCATCATCTTTATCATCGTCTGATCATCACCTGCCATCATCTCATATCTTATCATATCTTACTATATATACAAATCAAAAGGGACGTTAGACATCCTTGTCAATGCAAAGGATGCGATGATGATAGTTATCAAGGAACAAGTAGTGATGCAGAGGATGTTGTGATGATCGTTGTCATGACGCGGATGATAACGAGCATCAGGCCCGTGCTAGTATCATCATGGTCGTCGTCATCTCTTATCAGGCAGCATTGGTGATGCAGAGGGTGCTGCGATGATAGTTGTCATCGCAGCCGTTAGTGATGCTACGGATGCTACGATGATAGTTATCATCTTTGTTATCATCTTTATCATCGTCTGATCATCACCTGCCATCATCTCATATCTTGTCATATCTTACTATATATAGAAATCGAGGATGTTGTGATGATCGTTGTCATGACGCGGATGATAACGAGCATCAGGCCCGTGCTATTATCATCATGGTCGTCGTCATCTCTTATCAGGCAGCATTGGTGATGCAGAGGATGCTTGTCATCGCAGCCGTTAGTGATGCTACGGATGCTACGATGATAGTTATTATCTTTGCCATCATCTTTATCATCGTCTGATCATCGCCTGCCATCATCTCATATCTTACTATACCATATGTAGAAATATATATAGAAATCAAAAGGGACGTTAGACATCCTTGTCAATGCAAAGGATGCGATGATGATAGTTATCAAGGAACAAGTAGCGATGCAGAGGATGTTGTGATGATCGTTGTCATGATGCGGATGATAACGAGCGTCAGGCCCATGGTCGAAATCAAAAGGGGCGTTAGACATTCTTGGCAATGCAAAGGATGCGATGATGATAGTTATCAAGGAACAAGTAGTGATGCAGAGGATGTTGTGATGATCGTTGTCATGATGCGGATGGAAGGCGATGACTATGATGACAATCATGATGAAGATGATAAGGATGATGACTCTTATGATGACTAATCATCGTAGCATCCTCTGCATTACCAAAGCTGCGGATGACTGTCATGATCACTATCATCGTAGCATCTTCTGCATTACCAAGGGTGCCTAGCGATGATCATGACTACGCATCACTATCGAAACGGCACCTCGCCTCAGATGCCATTTGTCATTGAGATTTGGAGTCCTGCCTTGATGATAATCATCACTACGCATCCCCAGCATCTCCCAGCAGCGATGATCATAATCATGACTACGCATCACTGTCGAAACGGCATCTCGCCTCAGATGCCATTTGGGTCATTGAGATTTGGAGTCCTGCCTTGATGATAATCATCACTACGCATCATTCGCAAGAAATTAAAGAAGCCAAAACCAAGGGCACAACTAAATCCAGGGGTCGGCGGCACTGGGCGGCAGCCCTCGGGCCGCAGGCCAAAGCCCGGTAGGGCTTACCTTCAGGTATAAGGCCGCGCGCCCCATGCCGCCGACCATGCGCAGAACATGCGCAGAACATGAGCAGAACTTTTGCGCTGCGCCAAGCCTGCTAAGGGGCGAAGGATTTGCGGATTTGTTCAGGCGATTTTTGGCGGCTTTTTGAGCATCTCCCCGCGGAGTCAAAAAACGAGTGTTTTTTGGGGGGTGCCCATAGTGGACAACATCCCCGGCATCACCTGCATCATCCGCATCCTTGGCGGACATTGATGCGGATGATGCCGGTGATGCGGGGGATGCTGGGGATGTTGTCCCCTAAGTCGGGCCAACTTTGCCGAAAACGTGCAACCTGAAAATCTTAAAATCTTAAAGTGGATGGAAAATGGATGGAAAATGGCCTGGATTGAAATCTCAAAATCCTAAAGTCTTAGATTCTTAAAATCTTAAATTAAATCTAACAATCAATCTTAGAATCTCGAGATCTTAAAATCTTCGAACTTAGAATCTTAAAATCTGAAAATATAAAAACATCCTAAAGTCTTCGAATCTTGAAATCTTAAAACCCTTATGTCTTAGAATCTTGCGATCTTAACTCTTAAAATATGAAATTCCTACAGTCTTAAACTCTTACTCTTGAAATTTGGAAATCTTGAAACCTCAAGATCTTAAACTTACAACCTTAAAAAAAATCTTACAATCTGAAAATATAAACATCCTAAAGTCTTCGAATCTTGACTTCTTAAAACCCGAATATCTTTGAATCTTCAGATGTTAAAATCTAAAAATATGAACTTCCTAAATTCTCAAAGTCTTAAAATCTCAGAATCTGAAAAGCTTTCAAAACTTAAATTCTTTAAATCTCGAACTATTGCAATCTGAAAATCTTAACTTCATAAACAAGTCAAATATAATAAAATTCCTTCAATCCGGGCTATATTTTAAATTCCTTAAACTCTTAATCTTGAAACTTTGAAGCCTTGAAATCTTGAGATCTTAAAATCTTAAATTCCGAAAGTCGCCAAATCTGAAAATCTCCGAAAAATAAAATCTTAAAGCCTTCGAAATCTGATAATAGATGGAAAATGGCTGGGCAATGGCCTGGCTGTTATAACCTTCAAAAACTTTAAATCTTTGAATCTTAAAACCTTAATTCTTAAACCATTGAAACCTTAAATTCCGACAGTCTTCAAATCTGAGACCCTTAGAATCTCAAAGTTTTTAGAATCTGAAAATCTTAACATCTACTAATCGGACTTACAGGAAAGGGAAGTGACAGAACGAGCAGGGCAAGGTGCCCGGTGGCCGGCTGTGTCGCGTCAGCGTGTAAATCCGGCCACCGGACGTGATCGGGCCACAGGCCAAAGCCCGGTAGGGCTTACCTTCAGGTATAAGGCCGCGCGCCCCATGCCGCCGACCATGCGCAGAACATGAGCATACATTTTGGGCTGGGCCCGCCCTTATAAGGGGCGAAGGATTCGCGGATTGGTTTAGGCGATGTTTGTAGCATCTCCCCGCGTACTTTTGGGGGGTGCCTAAAACTGGACAACACCCCCAGCATTGCCAGCATCATCACGGATGATGCTGATGATGTTGTGCATGCTGGCGATGCGACACAATGGGCTAAAGGGGAAATGCAAGGAAACAGGAATGGAGAGAAACCGAGATGCAGGAAAATGCAAGGGCAGAACGTGAAGGGAACCGGACAGCGGGAACGAAAAGGGACAGGAATGCGAACAAAGGAGCTGAAACGGCAGTGAAGTGGAAGGAAGTGAAGGGACATGCCAGGAAACTGTCAGGGAAGACATGCAAAGAAAGTGAAGTTCAAATTATCCCGAGAATTAACAGGACTTAGAGGGAAAGGAAATGAAAGAACGGGAAGGGGTGCCCGTGGCCGGCTGTGTCGCGTCAGCGTGTAAATAAGCCCTGTATCAACTAATGTTTCTCCAAAGGACCTGGGAAAGTGTCGGGGCCTTAGTCTCCCTGCTTTTTTCCGAGGGACATTCGTCGTCTCCGCTTCTCGCCCCTGCTGCAAACTGCCAATGTTGTAATGTTGTGGGTGGTGCTTTGCGGAAACCCCTTTGGGTTCGCGTTAAAGGGTTGTCAAAGGGAAAACCACATGTTTGACCAGTGATTTGTTGCCGTGATCTGAGTCCCAAAAAGGGACAGCCTAAACTTGAACAACCCGTTCTCGGATTGTGCCGAAATGAACATCTGAGCAACCTTCCAAACCCCGTTGACTGCTTGTAGTAACATGATAATGAAGGTTGATCAAGGCCTATAACCCTCGTGAAACCAGAAAGTAGAGCCACTTAGGAATAGTAGAACCAGTTAGTTTGGGCATTTCTGGTATTGGCCAAGCAGGAAGCACCTACTAAAACAGCCAACACAGGCCAATCGATTACTTGGGCCCCCCGCCGGAAGTTCCGGCGCCGCAGAGCCGATGCCCACCTGACGAAGCCGGCCGAGCAGAACGCGCGAATCGCGCGGACTAGGAGAAGGGGACCCATTTAAAAATTGGTTTCCTTTGGTTTCCTTTCAACCCAATCAAAATGATTTCCTCAAATGCGTAAGTATTTGGCTATGGAAAAGACCGCTTGGACCGTTCAGTCCCTCCGTTCATGGTCCGTTCTCGTCTGTGTAAATCGTCAAAGCAGTGTCCATTTCGGGGACAAGCATCTCCCACTCGCTCGCCTGAGATCGGCCCTGCCGCATCTTTGGCATTAGCGAACTGGCTATCACCTTCAAAGAAGCTTGATCGCTTGGTGGGGCTGCATCTTGGGCGTATTCTGTAGCCTGTTGGCTCAAGCCAGTTCTGCACGAAGGGAATTTCCGTGCGATTCTTCCCGCTTCGAATGCGGGGGTGGGGGGCCGGAGGTTTTCCCAGGTCAGTCCCTGAGGCGTACCCTATAGGGCCTGTTGGTCTTTGGTTTCAGGGGTTGAGTCATGGTTCGATTCAAAAACTGACTTGCGTTTGGGGAGCATCAACTAACAATAATTCGTGGGGTACATGTTTTTGCCCTCTTTCTGTAAGTATGTTCTACAATAGGAAGCGGACCCATCAACTCTGCCCTTTCTTGTAGAGCTCAGGAAAAAACTGGTCGGCAATCCAGAAAACGAAAGGGCCGCAACTGCAGGAACGATGCCCCTCCTTTTCTTGACCAATTAGGGGTCTAGAATCAAAGTTGGGTAATACAGGGCACAACTCTCCAATGATTTCATCATCCTCCTTGCTTAGGGGCAGATGGGAATTGAGCCATCTAATCCCAACTGTAACCAAGCGCGTTTGTCTTTGGCCAACACACATCCTCCGTCAATGAGCAAAGAAAGCTGCAATTTTTTGGGGTGGAGCGAAGGTCCAAAGTGCCCCTCTGTGATAAGGGCTCTCAAAGATCATTGAGCAAGGAGGGAGAATAACCTCATGGGAGTTGAACGTTCTAGATCAATCATGGGACCCCCCACCCCCCTAGCAAAGGGGTAGAGATTCTCGCCTTCTAAGCAAGTGTGTTGCCTAGGCAGCAGCCAATCCAAGATTGCATCTGTCAGACATCTTGCGCCGCCATCATTTTGTCAAATCCTGATATGACAAGAGCAGCCTGAGACAGAGTGGCCAACAAAGGCAGCAAGGATAGCATTTGACGCATGGCCACCAGCTTGAGTATGGCAAGAACCGATTGCTGCCCCTCATGTCAGCGAGGGCTCCAGAAATGAGGTTGGAGCTTGACATGCCATCCTTGAAACAGAATTCTCTGGTGCATTCCATGGTTTAACGCCAGCTGTTTGTCCCTGCCACAGACTATATTGCAGCGAGAAGGCGCAACATGAGCGCACCTGGTGCATGGTGTCAAGCAGGCGGTTGGGGTCGATTCCTGTTGCAACACCCCAAATACAGCCCAAAGGTTCCTTTCACTGGGGCGGGGGGATTCTACCAAAAGATCATCATTTACTAGAATAGCCACCATGCTAAAGCTTATCTGTTTGATGTCCTGCATATCGCGACTCAACATGCTCATCGCGCAAACTCAAGTTCACCTAATATCTCATTGCAAGCTGGTCCTCGATTTCGCTCCGTAGCACGCCCCAGGCCATGTCGTGCGCACCTTGCGGCCTGCGCACTCGCATGGGTCTTGTTTTCTGCTGGTGCATTGTCCCTTTATTTTTGGGTTTATTGTGGGAACCAACGGCACGGTATAACTTTGGAAGGGGCCCCGTTTCGAGACGAACCCCTGCCACAGCCCTGCAGCATCCATCGTGTTTTGCTCAAAACACAGGATCTCAACGAAGGCCGCGACTGTTGCCAGGTTTCGGTCATTTCCGCTGACTCGGGCGCCCTTTGATTCTGAGCAAAGTGGCTATGTACATTGCCACCCGAGCCGTTTCCTGCGCCCATGGATTCCGGGCAATCAGGGGGATGTTCCCGACTCGAGAAACAAACGGAGCTGTCTCTGATTTGCTGCAAAGCCTGTGACTCTTTGGGCTTGACTATGGTGAGCCGACAGCGTGAAAAGCTGGACTCTCAGGGCCAAACGCGAGGAAAGGCCTCGGCATGTAGCCAGAACAAGCCAGCAAAAGACATGAGCTTCAACTCGCTGTTTCTTTCCTTTGGGGCCTTTCAGGCTGGGTGTCCAAGACAGCGCACAGGGGCCGCTCAGCAGGCATCTTCAGGGGATTGCTGGCTGGAAGAGGACGTGCGCGCTTCAAGGACTGAACATAATCCCTTCCCCCTACGAATAAAAGCGCCCCAATCGGGTCCTGTGAAGTCGACCGGATTTCCTCTTTGGTTCTCGTCCAAAATGGCTCCCCGCCCTACCGGACACGAAAAACCTCAAAACCGCACAATTTTCCGAGCAACGATTTTTGAATCAAACCGCTCAAGGTTGTTTTTTGCTTTTGCAGTTCAAAAATAAAGGGCGCGGTTCAAGCTTAGAATTAAAACTGCAAGAATACACGTAAATTGGTCAAAGATAAATATGCTTCGAGAATTTGGCATTGGGTTGGCGCAAGGAGCAACCTAATAAGGCTGGGGCTGGTCTTGGCGGAGACATCGGCCAGCTTAGCATTAGTGTTGAGTTGGGCTATTCTAAAAGTAGCATTGGGGAGCCGGCTGTTTCAGCCAGTCTGGGAAAATAGTATTTCTTAATCGGGTCCATTTACTTAAAGGAGGAAGGGGTTACACACAGTCTGCAGGGCTGCGCGAAAGCCTGGCGATGTCGCTCCGGAAAAAACCCTCGCTTTGCCGCTCAACGCTCAAAGCATCGCCAGGCTCACCTTTCGCGAAAGACATTGGGGTGTAATTATTTGGCTTCAACACGGAGCTGGGGCTCAAACCTTCGAACCCTGTCCCACCTGCCAACACTTCGTGGAAACGCGCTACTTCAAGGCCGACTGGAAAGGGATATAGCTGCGCTCGCATGCGCTTGCGCGGCGTAGAGCTCTGAGCGCGCCGGCGCGTCTGCGCGATTGTGTTTGAAACATGGCCTCTGCGACGTGCGACTGCAGCCTGACCGTGCGCTATACATGGCGCCATGTGTCTTCTCAAAAGCCTGCACCCACCCAGCCATACCCCATCCTAAAGGAAGTGCAGCTGCAGCATGCATTGTCAACACTGACTTCCCCGCGCGAGCTGGAATTGTACGGCGCAGTCTGTTTGTCGTGGGTCAGCAAAACAAGTTCTGATCACTGCACCCTCAAAATCCCTGATGTCCCCAGCATCAATACATATATTTCCTGGTTGGCAACCAAGTACTCTGAGCGAAAAGCGCAAGCTGCAGTTTAAAACAAACCCAAAGCGCGAGTCAACACTCCTGACGAGCAGTAGCCTCATGCAAGCAATCATGGTTTTTGGGAAGTCATGGTATGACCTTTCACGGGGCTTCGGTGCAATGTTCTATATCGTTGTTCACTGTTGGAAAGGTTTGAATATACGCGTGTACTTGATCATGGTTCGGATTGCTGCTCATGTTTGCTTCCAAACTTCGCCTTGTTGGGGGCACTCTCCGCGCGCAGCCCTGAACAGTGCGCGGCATGTTGTGGCAGAGGGTCTTGCGCACACGTTGGCTCCTGCAGACAAACCACGAAACCAAACCTGACAGACTTACTCAAGATGGCTTCACCTTCGAACCCCCTACCGGCAGGGTAAAAACGGGGTCTATACCCCCATATTTTCGCGCTAAACCCGGGTCCGGTCATTGGACGGTAAACCACACAGGGCTCGCACGGGCTCGCACGGGAAGCACACGCAGCGCCCCGCCTTGCAGCTCAGCGGATCTCCGTGCTGGAGGCTGTGCGTTGCATCGATCTCTGGCCTGGCAAAGCCGGGTGACAAGTTGCAAAATCCAGTTGCAAAAAGCGTGTAAAACGTGGATGTGTCAAAGGGATGAATGCTTGGCGTCATGTTAGCTTTCCCTTCGCAATGAGCATCAAAGCAGCGTCTGCCTTTGGAACCAAACACGGGTGTGTCCGAAAGTCGCGGAGCCCCTCTTAGATGCCCATGATGGGAATCGCTCCTGGTCCACCTTGAGGTGAAACCACAAGACTGAGTCCTTTCCCGGGCTTGCTGTGTTGGAGCACCATCCCGATGTATGCCCCCCCTTCGGCAGAGGCTCCTGCATCGCTGCACCCCCACCACTCGGACTTCGGGGAGCGGATGTTGCCGGCTCAGGCTTGAGCGAGAGCTTCGTGATGCAATCCTGAAGCTCCGCCATCTGGATTCTGAGGTCCAAGGGCTGGGTGCTGGGGTCCACCGCCCAGACCTCCTGAATTCGTAGGCGCTCCGACTCCTCCTGCGCCGCCAATGCATCCCCCTCCGTCACAAAAGCCGACTCCATAGAGTCGATTGAATCGGTGCTTGCGTCCGAGTGGGACATGCTCGAAGAACGAGTGGAGGGGATTGGAAATGTTTTCTCACCAAAGAAGGGGGCAGCCTTGAGCCAAAATGGCAGGCCATTTTGGCTCATGTTATTGATTTATCAAATGGTACCGCTACGCTCTTCCATTAGGAACAAAGCCCTGTTTGTCGTTCGATCAGCGCCAGGGCAAGTCTCAATGGGTTCGTTAAAGTGGCATCCTCAATCTTACCCTGACGAAACCACCCCCAAAGTCATTGCGCTCAAGCAGGATCGGCAAACGTCGGGATCGCAGTCTCCCCAGCACGGTCACAGTAGATGGCGTCCTAAGCGGAAGCGGCAGGGTGCCAACGTGGACGCAAAAGCAATGGCTTGACTCTTGGCACGCGTTTTGGTGCTTCTTTGGGTCTGTTGTTTTTGTGAGTTGCAAAGAAAACATATTCTGCGGACATACCAGTTAGACAAGTGGGATGAGGAAGGCACACGCACATTGCAACGTCCCACTCCATGAATGAGACCCGGCTGCTCCGAACCTGACCCATTCACCCAGCTTGAGGACCTTCAACTGGCGCTTGAAATCCAGTGGCTTTCCCACGCTGCTTTCCTCCAAAGTCGGATTCATGAAGCGTGGGGCTGGCGGATTTTCATGGTAGCGCAGGCCTGGCCTCTCGAGATGAATGTGGTCTCTTTGATTGTGAAGGCCCCTTGCGAACGTGGGCAATCCATTGTGAGTACGAGAAACTTCAGCCAGCCCAGCATTGTGGTTTCGTACCAGTACTACCAGTTGAGCTGATTGGGCAAAGGATCATGTTTGCTGCTCCACGATGGACGACCATGTTGTGACAAATATTCCCTGTCAAACAATCACTCAAAACTATCTGTGAGTCCCCCTTTTGAAGTGACAAAGTATCTGATCATAGTTTTTTTGAAGGTGATGCCAAGTTTGAACACAAGCGCGAAACAAGCGCACAAACCAAACCCATGGATCGCAAGCTCACGGGCATCGAATGGGAAATCAGAAAATTGAGGACCGCCCCCTCCCCCCCATTCTTGTCGTTTTGGAAGCGGGGGCGCAAGCAAACTGCCGAACAAAATGTCAGGAGGTCGACGTGCAATGTCAACACAAGCGCTCCACTCCGCTGAATTGTGAGATTCGAGTCTTCACCCAAAAGCAAGCCACCCCCTGGCACCCCTGGCCCCCAGACCCCCAGACCCTACCCCAAATCCAACCCCCAAACCCTCCAACCGCATAGGATCCGGGCGTCGCCCCCGAAGCGCAAGGCCACTCGGCGCTGCTCGGGGCCATCGGCCTGGATCGATCCCCCTGAGGTTTTCCTCCCGCCATTGGCCGTTTGGGCCTTGCCCCGGAAAAAGGCGATCAACGTTTGGGCCTTTGGAGGCCTTTGGGCTTGCACACCCCCAACCTTTCTGGTACCTCCCTTCCACCTTTCTGGCCGGGTCGAAAAACCTGGGCCCGGATTCGTTGGGATACTGGTGACATGTTGCGCGTGGCTGGGCATACTCAGGCTAAGCCGTCGTTGATGGAAGGAAAGCCGGCAACAGCGATCCCAGATTCGCGCCGCGCCTCTGGATGCCCCGGCGAGCCATGCACGATGCCTTGGCAGTGTGTGGCGGCTGCGAATGAATACAATACCCGTGCTTGTTCTCAAAAAGGGGTATGACTCATGAGCAAACGCCCAGTTCTAACCAAAACTGTTTCAACGCCGCTTTTGCCCAGTAGCCAAGGTCTGAACAATGGTTGCAAACAAACATTTTGAGAAACCCTCAACAGGTCCTATGAATCCTGGGCGGCGGGCGTGAATCGAAACACAGCGCGTCGCCCGCTTTCACCTCGAAGGACAAGGCGTTGGCCTCGCCTACAAGAGAGGTGAACGGATCACCAACGCTCCGTTCCTGGAGGCCCAGCTTTTTCGCCACCATCCTACTAAAATGGCCTGAGTGCCATTCTGGATAAGTGTTGGGATTCAGGTTTAAGGCGTTGGTTTCGGTTTAGGGTTTAGATTTTGGGTTTCGGTTTACGGTTTATTTAGGGTCCTTCAGGTTCAGGTTTAGGGCGTAGGGGCTTAGTTTTAAAGTTTGCGGCTTCGGGTTAGGTTCGAGGTTTGGGGGGGTGTAGGTTTAGGCGTTAAGATGAGGATTCGGGTGTATGTTTAGGTTTACAGATTCAGGTTTGGGGCATTGGATCTGGATTCGGGTGAAGTATTCAGGTGTTGAGGCTTTGGCTTGGGGTTTAGGTTTGGGGTTTGGGATTCAGGCACCTGGTTCGGGGCGCCAACCCATGGGGGCTCGACGCAACTTTACCCTCGCACAAACGTGGAACCTGGCAGCGACCCCTGGAAGGCCATCTTTCTCTAGGGACCTCTCCTGGGTCCATGTTTTTTCTTGGGAGGGTACCGGGTACGCTGAGTTTCCCTGTGAGCAAAAACGCCCGAGGAAAAACAGCGAGCGGCGCCTGCCCGCAGCATCGTCTCCACGTCCGGCAGCTCGGGGAGCTCATCGCGCCCTGAGACATGGGGCTCCTTTCGATGCCCGAAACCAGGATGTGAACCATGGGACACCACATGTGTATATATAGATATATATATATATATATATATATGGTTTAAGTTTTATGAAGTGCACACCCTCAGGTGTGCATGGCACAGCCACTGACAGGCGCTAAATGGACTTGCAATCCGCAGGAGTCCAGCTGAGAGTGGGGGGTCCTGGCCTTTCTCCTCTGTTGCCTTTTTTTCTGACAGAAGCCACGATGGGATATCCCAATTGTACCTCCAAGGTACCCTGGCACCCCTGCGCGTCTGCCCCGAAAGCCGCGGAAGATGGCACAGAACACCATGGCATTTTTTGGTCCTCCAAAAGGGCCCAGGGCCCAGCCTGCATAGGGCGAGTGGTCCACAAAGTGCCGGGGCCGGAAGAGACCCCAAGCCTCGGGCCAAGCGCTTCCAAACTGAGTTCTACGCGACCCGATTCGACCTCCAGGGCTTAGGGGTCATTCTCCAGTTTACTGGAGGCTGGTCATGTACGCCCAATGCCGCAAACTATATAGCCCGAATATCAATTTTGATAAAAGCCCCAACACAGTGTTGTATCTTCTGATGGTACCCGTCTTGGGGGTGGATGTTTGCAGGGCTCGCGTCGTACACTCCATTTCGGGCGCACCACCCAAAATGGGCTGGGCTCAATTTACCGTGCTAAGCCAGACCCCCTGTTTGGCCATACACCTATTGAGTACATGTGTTTGATTGTGTGGCTCCATTCGAGCTACACCAGGGGCGATGAGAACAGCCATTGATATTTCGTTGATACCCTTGGCCCTTTTTGGGGCTGCGTTGTTTATTGAGAAGGCAAGGGACAATTGTCGCACAGTTTGGTTGGAAACACACAACTTATATAACCTCAACGGTCAAATGGAGCAAGCAACTCAAGTAACTCAAGTAACTCAAGTAACCAAAGCAAACGTCAGCATCTTTTTGGCAACCGCTGCACCTCCTTTGCCCGCTTAGACCCACCATTCTTGTGGTTTCCGGCATCGCTTTCAACCAAAGCATCCCTCATCAAACGCGAGTGGACCTCCACCTGGGGCTAGCGACGTGGGAGCCCTGCACATAGCGCACGCTGGCCGCCAGGGGCATGTCGTCCAGCGCGATCCAAACCTGGGTTGCCCACTCGAAAGAAGCTTTCACAGGAAGCTGGCCGGAAAGGGAAAGCAAGAGAAGCCAACACCAATCTCTACCCAAACGAACACCAATTTCTTCCCAAACGTGGTCATTGTGTTGAGGTTCGGTGCTCTGGGGTATTGAAATGGAGTCCTTTGGGATAGCTTGGATAGTGCGAAAACTCCTGGGAAAGTAGCAAACAAAATAGCCGTTTAGGATCGTGTTTAGAAGAAACTCACTGGAAATCAACAGATTTTAGGGTGCCACTCCAAGTGATGAATTTCTGTTCGGTTCCCTTGAAATACAGACCCAAGAAGGTCCTTTTCTAATTCAGCCTGATCTGTTGAGGGCAAGGCAACCGCTCCCCCCCCCAAAGGTGACCCATTGTTGTCGTCAAGAGCGACTTGAACAAACTGTGCGAAAGGAAGTAACAACCTCACCGTCGGACACTGCCAAACCTACCACCGAGCCCCCTCCTGTTTGAGTGGGAATATGAGAACTCCTTTTCTGTTCCCCTCAAAGGGCCATGAACAACTGGCTATAACTGACATAGCTCAACTGGTCCACTCAACAGGGTGCACCCACACCTCAGAAAATCCATTCGCTCGGTCAGTGCCCCGACCGTTTCGTTGAGGCCTGGGTCTCGCTCGTTGCCTGAGATTCCAGCGGAACCGATCTGCTTGCCATCAACCTGACGGAACGGCTGTGTGAGAAGTTTGCAGGGGCTCCCTTGGGCCAAGTTCCAAGCATAACTTGGAGGCCCAGTGCGGGCCCCGGAAATAGAACAGTCGAGCCGGGCCTTCCAATAGGGTAGGTCCTGATGCCAAGGTATCGCCTTGGAGCGGCTTGCAACCCCTCGGGGCCCTCGGGGCTTTGAGACAGCCCGAGACATACATATCCCAAACGTACACGGTGAGGATGTTGCATTTGGGGGGTCATGCCGGCAACAGCCAGGAGCCATTTCAAGGGGTCTTCAAATAACCTTTAAAGAACAACAAAGGGCTCGTACAGTATGGGTCGTTCATGGAACAAGTGATAGGCATTGGATCCCCAGATTTAGACCAGCTTCCTCTTGCCAACGCAACAAGGCGTTGCCTTGCCTTGGCAGTCGGGATAGCCAAAAACAGACACATGCCTGCCGAAGTGATCTGTAAAGATTTCAGTTCTCGCAAATGAAGGATAATCTGCTGCTCATCCCCGTGGCACACTTTACAAGGATTGCTGTAAGTTTTCGCATACAGCGTCTGAACATGGCCACGCACAACTCGACAACTTGTATGGAGCTGGCAGCATGCAACATCGCTGATGCATTTTTCTTCGGGGCCGTGGGGAAACCTGAAAGCAGTTCCATGGCAGGAACACCTATCGGGGGGCTCGAACCTGCGACTACAAGGTAAAGAGCCTTGCGCTGTCGCAGGCGCGCTTGGCCCCGCATGGGAATGTCCGAAAGGGGGATCCGGAAATGGTCGGTTTCCTTAAGGTCCTTGAAAATCATTCAACCGCCATGGATTCATGGCCAACATGTCTACGAGTCAGCTAAGAGTGGCACGGTACTTCCGCCGCGCTTCAGAATGGCGTGCAGGTAGAAGAACGACACCGTGGCCTGCGAAAGGCTTCACCACTGGAGCCAGGCGTCAATGGAGTTTCCTTTGGGCTCCCTTGCAAAACAACCCTGGAGTGGCAAACGTCAGGGTTCCAGAATTGTACCTTTAAGGTCGTACCCCAAGGGTGGCACCAAAAAACAACCATCTGCAAGACTCATTTCCCCAAAGAGCCGTGTTGGTCTTCTAAAAATCGGAGTAGGAGGCCCGCCTGCTGTCCCAGACCAGCCCTTCAGCTTTGATCGTCCCACAGCACCCAACAGAAACCCTCACAAACAAAGAGACCCTCTGAACAGCAACCGCACCCCTCCATTTGACAAATATGTGTTCCTGCAAGGTTCTTCAGTGGCTTTGGGTTTCTCCAACCAAAAGGAGCCACATCCTCATGCGTGTCAGGGTCACAACTCCCGGCGGCCATGATGGTTGCCTCAATGGGAACCTGTTTGGTCTAAAATTCCCTTGGTCCACGACCCGACCCAACCCTAAGCAAACGAATCAGTCTGACTGCACGATCAAGGCCGAGGCTCCCGCAGAGCCCATGAGCTGAGCGATGACGGCTGCTGCATGAGAGTGGAAGACCGGCACCCAGTCCTTGCCCAATACTGTGCAAATTAACATGGAACTCCAAAAGCCTTGATGGGAGAACCCTTTCTTGGGGTTCGATGTTGATTTGCAATGGCCTCGCACTCAAAGCCTGCATGAAAAAATACGAGAGCTTCTTGTCGCCTCTATTCATGGTTGGGACTGCCCCTTACTAACTTCACTTACTAAGGTTTTGAGTGATGCTCAGATCATTCCGAGAAATATCCACGCGCACGCTCTTTTGCCCTCAAAAGCCATTCAAGCAGAGCCCGAGTTCAGCCTTCATGGGTTGAAGGTATCTTGTGGCAGCAGGTCGCAAGGGTCGTTTGCAGAAGGTGAGATTCGCAGATCGCATACAGTTCCCACTTTTTGGATGGTTGTCTAAGGGAGGGCGCAAAGGCCAACTCTTGGAGGCGGTCACGAGCTTGGAACAGCTTGGGCAACTCTCAGCGCCAGTCTGGGAGTCTTTCAACCGCCTCTTCGTAGAAGACCTACGCCAAGCCATGCAACTTGCAACTCAGGAAACTCTGAAGCGCTCGAGTACAAGCAGTCGACTTGCTCGGCCTGTGACATTGATGCATCCCAGAACTGTGAGAGCATAGTCGTCCGTACCAAATCCATCACGCCTGGTCCTGGAACATGCCCACGTTCTTCCTGAGCAAGGGCATGGAAGCGAAAATCTGCATCTGCAACCCGTGGCCAGCTGAGACGTGGACCTCTGTGCATTTTCGAACAGTGTCTCCCAGGTGGAATCCTTGCTGATGAACTCGGCGTACTTGCCTCCCAAGGCCGACACGCCACCGCTCGCCAAGCGGTGGCAAAAGCGACAAGCCTCCCCAACCACCAAGTTAATCTCCAAAACATGAGACACCAGAACACAGGAACCCTTCAAAACATGAGGGTTCTTCCTTGCAGGCTTCTTTTTGAGCACCAGGGCTGAATCTTGCCAACTCTCTTCCCGCGCCTGGGCGCTGCATACCTTGGCCAAAGGCCTCGCGCAGGTATTGCACCCAGTCTGGGCCTGCGACACCCCTGAAAAGCGATGGTCTTCGACAGCAAGAAGTGACACGTGTTGATACTTAGGCGAAGAGAAAGGTCAAACAAGGGTCACTCCACAGGACAACCAAGAATATTCAACCTCATCAACTGTTGTCGGCGGCTCACATGGTTAGGGACCAGTCTCACATCCTTTTGCCGGACAAACTTGCGCATATGAAAATCCTTGTTGGAAGTAGGGGGTGCTACCATCCTCTCGTTTAGATTGATGAGGGCTAGCAAAACCTGTTCCTCCCACTCAGTCAAACTGACCGGAGGTCAAAATGGCGTACATATCCAGCATCAACCAAAGAACAACTGGCGGACCACTCTTGTGCAAACGTGGAATATAGCCCGAAGTAGTTCTGTACTGGCAAGCAAACAGAAACCCAGGGTGCCCTTTTGAAATACCAGGTAGACTTCAAGCCAGGGTTTCGACTCTTTAGTCTTCCTTGGGGTTTGCTCAGAAAATAGAACCCTTTTATCCCCCAGCCACAAGTAGTCAAAGCAAAACTCGTTCATGTCGACACCTGCTCGCGAGGCCTTCCACATGCAACCAGTTCATGGTAGTTTCCTTGAAAACGAGCCTACGAAAGATCCCAAACAACATATGGCTGTGGGTCAAAAATGGGTACCCACAATGGAACCCTGGTAAATGGAACCCATGACTAAAACAGGTGGTCCCCTGGTGGTTTAATTTTGACCCACAGCCATATTGAGACCAAGAAACATGCATATGTTTGCGGAGATCATGGCCATGAAGTGGTTGATTTCTGGTAGCTGTCTGTACAAGTTGAAGCATTTCCAAAAGGATCTTACTGGAATTGGCAAACCGTCCATTGTCTCTTTTGGCTCCCCCGCGACCAGTGAAACTACCCTCCCACCATCGAACACGCAAGAGCGCAAACTCCCCATGGAAGACTTTCCTGTTCAACAGGTCCACTCCCATTGTTGGAAAAGGTTGGTAAGCTGTCCTTCACCAGAGCTTGTGTGGTATCCCCAGAGCGCCCAAGACTTGACTTTCGGCTCTCAAGGCAGTAAAGGGTGTTCTTCTGAGGCCTTCCTAGCACAACTTTCGCCAACTGATCCACCGGATCCGCAGTTTGGGCAACGCCAGGCCCCCGCACCGAAGAGTTGCGGTAGGTGGACCACGCCATTTTCCCGGTAGGCCTAGTCAAAGCATGCGGTCTCTCCACATACGTCCGTCTCTCCGCGGTTCGTCTCCAAATCGGTCTGGCTCCAGGCGAGCCCACCCTGACTCCTCAAAAGATGGCTGTTTGGCTTTCATTGAAGGCGATTCCAAAAAGGCAACCAACTCCAAACAACACACCCGAATCACAACTGGAAGTCAAAAAGAAGCCCCTCAAGATCAAAAACACACACCAACTAATGGGAGGAGCCCTGCAAGGGCTGAGTAAGAGAGAGTGAGAGTGAGAGTGAGAGTGAGAGTGAGAGTGAGAGTGAGAGTGAGAGTGAGAGTGAGAGTGAGAGCGAGCGAGCGAGTGAGTGAGGCGCGGCGGGCGACGGGTGCGCAGAGGTAAAAATAAGAACCCTGAAATGGTAGTTCATTATTATTATTTATTTAGCTATCTATTTTATTTATTTATTTAATTTACTGTTGTTTTTATTTATTTATCTAAGTTATTTATTTATTTATGTATGTATTTATTTATTTATTTTAAACCAAACAAAAACAAAAAAAATGTCGCAAAAAGTGAACCTGCAGGGTGAAATCTCGGGATCTGCTTTGACAAATTTGGAACACCTGGTGCAACCCACGCGACGACGGCAAAACCAATAAAACCTGTGCTCCTTTTTGAGTGTGCCCTTTCTTGAGGTTCAAAAGGGAACCCCAATCTCCTTTTGGGAACAGGACGCCCATTTTGAGCAACCCAAGCTGCAGGGAAGTATCGCTCCCTCCTGAAAACAAAGCACTTGCGACTGACGAACATCCGGCCTGCACCTGCTGACTCGATACACGCAGATTCGCAGCAGGCGTGGGGGCCATCGAAGCCTGGCACCGGTATTTGAGCATTGCCCTAGAAGTGTGGGGTAAATCACCTACCAAATAGGGAAGAATGAAAAAACATGTCCATCCACAGTAGGGCCTACCGAACTCCGCCTATCCTTGCGATTGCTCGACGCCATTCAGCTGTAAACAGACTTGTGCCCATCACCCAAAAACCGCTTTATACCCACTTGGCAAGTAGGTTTTTTTTTCCCATGTTCTTCCCAAACCAACGGCAGACTACCAACAATTCTGTCAGTTGCTCATACAGCCCAAGCAAGAGAACGCTGGGGCAGCCATCCTCATGAATTTGAACCCCTCTTCCGGCCCTGATCGGTGCACACTTTTGTTTCCAAGACCCAAACCCACGTGACTGCTGGCAACATTGGGGGGGGCATCACACTCTTCACATCTCACGCACTGTCTACACAGTGAAACCCGCTAGAGAAAGTAACCAGCACATAGAAAGCTCAGAAACCTTCAGCGCTGCTCAACAAAGCAATTCCGCTCACAGCCATGTCCAAGTTCAAATCCTCGAGGCACAAATCTGTTCAGGAAGCCCTGCCACGGAAGATGGTCCAACAAAAAAAAAGGCAAAGCCCGCAGGCGTGGGTTTAAGCTGTCCTAAAGTTTCAAACCACACTTCGTCTGAGCGAGTTCGGGGCCTTGCTGCGGGCCAGGTGTCGGCAACTGAGCCTCACCGGGCAGATCACGCCAGCCTTTGTTCATTCCATGTCAAGAACGTCAACATAGAAGTACCCGCTATTGTGGGCGGAAAGTAGGTGTGTGAATTGCAAGCAGGTGGCTGGCAGCGTGCAAGGCCTTCTGATCCATGCTCTGTGGGGACATGACGAATTTCTCGGGTGTTGAATGTTCCGTTTCGACCGCAATGGATGTGGACGGGGACCCCTCTATACATTCGTTAGAAAGGAATGGAAGGATGGAAACTCTATTCCTCAGAAATCCTGCAAGCCATTTCCATTGCCTGAACCACCAGCATCACCGCTTGCATCATTGGAATCGTCATCAGCATCAACAACATCGGCTGCATGAACAGCATCAGCTGCATCAGCACAACCGCATCGCCAGCATTACCAGCATTCCCAGCATCCCCAGGATCCTACATCACCGCATCCCCAGCTTCACCAGCATTACCAATATTTTACATCCCAACATCCCCAGCAATACCAGCATTATGCATCCCAACATCCCCAACATCCCAGCATCAGCAGCGTATACATCCCAACATCCCCAGCATCACCGGCATCAGATGTGTTTTGAATCAAGCACAATTCAAATGCTGGTCTTCAGCAAGCATTCAATGCTTCATGAGGCATGATGAAATCACAAGGTAGGCCCAGTGTTCGGGGGTCCAATTCCCATTTTGCGCCACACCGTCTCCAGCCTGACCACCATGGCGGGCGCAAAGCCAACACTCATTGCATCCAAAGTACCGTTGGGGTTATTTGAGGATGTCACTTCAAAGGACCCAGAATTTGTCACTTCAAAGGACCCAGAATTAGAAGGTAGCCTGAAAACCAAGTTGGTCATTATCAGAAAAATATTCGTTCGCGAAAGGATTCACTGGGCTTGTCTTCAAATAAAGAAACCGGAAACCAAGAAACCAGGCAGCAAATCCACTTGCTCAATGATGTCCAATCGGAATTGATGTGAAAGTGCGAGTCGGCTGCTGTGATTGCCAGATTGCGTGCTGATTGCTTCAAATGTTGGGAAAGGCCGGATTGATATTGATATCGCGAGTTGGGCGACGAGCAACTGCGTGTACACTTGCTGGCATTCTCAATCGATTGCATGGGCTGCTGCTCAAGTGCATCTCACCACTGCCAACCAAGCAAGCTTGGATGTGCCACAGAATCAAGCACGCGCAAACCATCTGCATACGACCATGCTCTTTCATGGCACAACAAGGAACCCATGTCCCATGAGTGTCAAAGCAACACACATTTGGCTCTGTGGCCGACGGTCTTTGGTATGCTTAGTTGGGCAACGAACCAAGGTCTGGCATGTGAGAGCAAACCAATGCGCGCAGTTGGCTTGTGCTGCGAAACAATTAAGCACCACAACTGAGCCCAGGCAGCTGAGAAGCAACAAAGTCCTGGCGTTTTTTGGCATGCATAAATGATTGAGGAGCCGCGGACAGTGTGTGTGTGTGTGTGTGCCACCTGCGCAGAAGGTTAATTCAATCCATCAAAAGTGGATTCTGTTACAGCCGATTTGATCTGCGCCGCATGCCGTGAGTGAGCATAACTCGTCTCACTCTCTGAGAATCGAAAAATGCGCAGTGCTTTTGGGAAGATGGCACCACGAGCACCCACGTAACGCCAATGAAGCTAACTCCAGTTGGGCTTACTCATAATGAGGTTCAGCTTTTTCCGTATTTGTTATCACTGACCAGCCGGCGGGAACAATGGTTGCATGCAAAAGCACTGAGGGAAAACTGGCGTCGAATTCTTCACACAAAGGCCGTATGGGAAAAACGGTGCATCAGCTCGGAACGGTGGAGAATCTGGCGTTGACCTCGGAGAATCGATTGGAGAGGCCTTCTCTGCCTGAAAACTTTTATCTGAGTACGGATTTGTCTCCAAATGAGGGAACGCTAAAAAATGGATGATGCCCCTTAACATTAACCCCTAAGGACGGAGGACTCCACTTTTGCTGACCGCACTGCAAAGGCATCACTTTAACATGCACTTTTGGAACTGTATGAGTGCGGGAATTCGGGAATAAAAGCACAACCAAGTGTCCCTACACAACCTACCACATCCCATCCTCCAATCCTCCAATTCTCCAATCCAAGTCTTTCTCCCAACGTTTCGGCGAGACCTGTGGAATGAGTTTGCAGTCCCAAATCATGAGGATTAGCTGGTTCCAACTCCAATTGTCTAGAACGATGCCGCCATGCACCCTTTTCTCCTGGTCAGTCCTCCAGCTCTTCAAGAACTGACTCTTTGGTCGCATTTTGCTCTTGGATCATTCCTAAAAAATACTCATACCACGCATGTTTGCTACACGAACCGCCCCGCAGCTGCCCAGAATCAAGGTGGCTCTCCTTCAGAAAATGCACGAAGCGCTCCATCATGGTACTCCGATCCATCGTGCCGGTGCGCTGATGCGGCAAGCGTGCAAAGAGGCAGACCAGCTGTCTGTGATATTCTTGCTCTTCCGGACTACTGACCAGCCCAACAAAGTCTTCGAACTTTGACTGGTAGTCATCTTCAGAGTGGTGGACTTCGATAGTGGCTCCTTCTGGGACAATGTCTTCTTCACCGAGTTGGCGCTGGTTGACAGAAATCGTAAGTTGATCCGGATAGCATTCGTCATAGTCGGGTTCAGACATCCTCTCGGCCACTTTTTCCTTGAAGACAGCAACTCTGCAATTCACTGGGGCTTCCACCTCAACAGGGGGATCCGCTTCTTGACGGCCGCTCCAGCAGATTGAAACGCTGTACCTTGCAGTTTCTGGCGGTAGGTGAGCATCGGGATGCTGAGGCTGAGGCTGGGCCATAGCGGCGGCTGATTCCACACTTGAGCGAAAAGACACACGGAAGGCGGCTCAGTAGAAAATGTCCCGCAGCGAGGCAAGGCTTCAC